CCCGTGCACCGCTCACAGATGAATCCAATCAGGACCAGCCACTTGGGGCCCGGGTAGGCGTCGAAGATGAATCCGGGGACGTCGTTGCCGAATGCAGAGTAGTTGGCCACGGCCACGGTGAAGTAGAAGGCAAAGGAGGCGGAGATGGAGATGATGGAGGCCGGCTTCATGGTCTTCACAGCCTTGGGGGGCTGGGAGGCAGGGAGGGGAGAGGGGAGAGGGGGGTGGGAGGGTGGGCTTCGTGTGGTGTGGGAGGGGCCCGGCGCAGGGGGAGGGGGCGTCCCGGAGCGCCGCCGACGTCGAGGCCCGGCCAGCGTGGCTGGGGGGATGCTGCCAGCCGCCCGGCACTGCAGCCTTCCTCCTGGCTTCCCCCACGACCCACCTGGCGCAGCGTGTCCTGGATCTCCAGCAAGATGACGGCAAAGGAGTAGGCAAAGGCGATGGCCCCCAGCGAGCCCAGCACGCCAAAGGCCTTGTCCGCCGGGTCGGTCACGATGCCGCCCACGGAGCCCAAGCGCGCGCCGGCTGCACGCGCGTGGTGTTGGCTGGGGACTCAGGGTGGGCGGGGCCAGGGCGTCGCGGCGAGTTGGTCTGGCATGCTCGCATGCATGGACCACCCTTACATTCCCGTGCATCCACCCACAGGCCTTGCGAGCATGCTGGGCCCTCCCCGCAGCGAACCCAGGCCCCACTCACAGTACTTGAGGCCCAGGGAGAGGGCGATGCAGGAGTAGAAGATGGCGGTGAAGACGCCCATGGCGGACACCCACCAGGCCGACTCGAGGGAGGGGACCTGGGACAGGAACAGCTGCAGGGCCCCAAAGATGAGCACCATCTGCCAGATGGTGTCGAAGCACTGGGTGGAGCCGCGCCAGGCGCAGGCGATCTCTGCCACCGCCTTCATGGAAGTGGCCGCCGAAATGGTGTAGGTGATGCACGTCAGCACCATGTTCAGGCACTGGAATGTGGACACGCCAACGGCGCTGTAGTGGCCCTGCAGGTTGTTTGGGCAGGGGGGCGAGAGGGAGGAGTGTCAGAGCCCTCCTGGGTGGCTGCTCACCCGCAGCTCCCAACTGGCTCTGCACCCACCATGATGCTCTTCACGGCGCTGTGGTAGCGACCATGCTCCACGCCATTAACCTCGTAAATATCAGCCAGGAGCCTGGGCGATGGTGGGAGGGTGGGAGGGGGGTCGTGATGCCGCGGTTGAGGTTGCTCACCCGCCCACGCCACACAGGAACATCCGGAGCCTGGGGCCCCGGGCCGGCTGCGCACATGCTGGTCAGAAGCGAGATGAGGTAGAACACGATGATCATGAGGGGCCCCGCAATCCATCCAAGGTAGGCAACAGAACGCGGAAGAGCCAGTACACCAGCTCCTGCGAAGCGGTACGGGAGGGGGGCGAGAGTGGGAGGCCTGAGTCGGCAAGCGTAGCCGGCACTCACACATCCTAGATTCTCTCTCCAGGCGACTTGCCACTCACCTACAACGCCGCAAAAAATGTGTATGGCCGCTGTTGTGCGCGTTCCTGCGCGGAGAGGGGACGCAGAGTGGGTGCAGCCTGCAACCCTCGTCGAGTCGCAAGGCACCGCGGTGAATGCCCGCAGACACACGCACTCAAGGAATCAGCCACGTCCGTACCGGTCTTTTCATTTGGTATGCCATTGGGATGGGCGTCCAGCTCTATCGAATTCTTCGTCATTTTTTCGTGAGGGTCCGTGCCACCCCGACGCCCGACTGGTTACCCCGGTAGGTGTTGTGAGCTCAGACCGCCCTTGAAGTACTCTGATAGCGCAAGTGTCGGCACACAAAAGCAATTGATGCACCGTGAGTCTGGTGGCGTGGATTTACGCCAAGGAGGGTGCTCGCGGAATTGGACGCCGCGGGCGACCAGCAAGCCCTCTATCGAAACCGCGCGATTGTCCCGGTGTCGGTGTGGAGGTCCAAGTCTCTTCACAAAACCTGGGGATACGCAAGGCAAATGTCCACCAGATTAGACCAATATTGTTCAAATTATACATCTGATAATTCGGAATGGCTCTCGGTCTGGTGCACCATCAGAGGACAATCGCACCTATGGGAGAATTCTCCCGATTCACGCGCGCGGGGCCGTCCGGACGTCCTCCACGTGGCGAGAGGTGTCCCAAGAATGGGGCGGTATGCAGACCAAGGTGCATCCCAGGAAACAGCCTTGGAGGAGCATTAAATCTTCGTATCTTCCTGTATGTTGTATAGATCTCGCGTCAGACTCCCATCTAGGCTGCAGCACCTCCCCTGCTTGCTCATCGATGATCACATGCTGGCAACCCTGCATAGCATTTATACAACCTTGGATCCATCTCCGTCATGAAACCTGCAGAGACCCTGTGAGCAGTTGAATTTAAGATTGAAATTATCGTTGGTTGAGAGATCAGTTTTCGAATCTGGGAGAGCAAAGGAAAACAGACCAAGTCTCGCTTCTCCAACCCCACGTTACTTTCATCTTGGAATTCGCTGAGAATCAATCCCTGATCATCAAGCCTCACTGTTGCAGCGAGTCAGACACATGACTCTGCTGCGGCTTCAAAGAATTTCCCACATGCGCACCAGGTGATCGTCATGTCCCCTATTCCCTCTCAAGGCGAGGATCAGACAGCCAATTATACATTCTATCGTGTGTGTGGTGTTGAGGCTTGAGGACGTCTCGAGTCTGGGTGAAATCGACCGCAAAGGATCGCCTCAGATCTCACGCAATGTGCTGGTCAGGACAATTCTTCAAGTCGATCACACGATGGAAGAGGTACTCAAGAAGACTGCTCGCCAAGATATCCGGTGAGTCTTCCTATCGTTTTGCTGGCTAGAGTATTTCCCTCCCCAGGGCTATACCAGCTTGCCCTTGGAAACCCCATCCCATGCTGCTGAAGATTTACTTCATGTTGGCGCCATCATGGAGAGAGTGTCTTCCGGGGACTACATGTCGGGCCTTGGAGCCGCGAAGGGTGCTTGATAATGAATCATAGTGGCATTACACATGCACTCATGACATCGCGCGGCTGCCCTCCAAAGTCCCTCATGACAAGGCGTGGTCGACCTTGACAGCACGGACCAGCGAAAGGGCACTCCTAGCGGTGTTCCCAGCGGTGAGCGTGCAATCCATTTGGGCCCGAGAAGCTGTTTTTGCCGCCTTTACAAGCTTTTTGGATGCTTTCTGCTCTGCTTTGCTTGCAGGACACTCCCATGCAGTGTCTACACCGCAACCCCTTGTCGCGGCCGGATCTCCGCTTTCGGAATCGGAGGATGGAGGCCGAATTCGTGAATGATCCGGCGTCCAGTTGTCGCCGCCTCGCCACCCTCACCAGCATCGTCAACATCTGCCTGTCCATTGGGTGCACGGTGCGCGCAGGGGAGTGCCGGCGGTGGCAGGACCAAGAGGCCGAGGCTCCCAGTAGGGCCCAGGTCCCCGCCTCCTGGACACCCCGCGGGTCAGCGCCACAAATGCCCCGCCCGCCCCCCCCGCATTCCCTGGCACAGGTCTTACTACAGGGCTGGAAGAGGTACCTTCAGTGTGCTTGCGTCATCCTCGAGGTAGGGGCCTTCCGTACAGATTCGGGATCAGGTTGTGTGGGGCCCCTAGCCTCGGCCCTTGGCTGCCCTTCCGTACCGGGGTGGCGTGGACGGGTGTCGCCGAACGCCAGCGGCACCCGAGACAGAATCCAACCGGATATCGTCAGCCCTCCTGGGCCTCCTCATCCGTCGTCGTCCTCGCACCCGCAGTCCGGCCTGGAGCTGCTGGCCCGGTGCCCCCCCTCCCCCGCCTCCACAGGCCTGCGCCTATGGCTCGGCCACGCCCTCCGACTGGGGTTCCTGTTGGTGCTGGGCCTCCACGTGTCCATCCCCACCCCCTATACCTACTCTGGCCCCCACCCTAGCCTGCAAGCCCTGCGCTGGGCGGCGGTGTGCTCGCGCGCCCCCCTCTTGGCCTGGGCCGCCCTGGGCCAGGCACCCCTCCTGCATCAGCGCCTGCTCAGCCTCCCCCTGGTCCTCGCTGCGGCCCTGCTTGCATCGCCCGGCTGCACTTGCCTGGAGGCTGGCGCGGAGGTGCTGCGAGGGGGATCGGGCTGGATAGGGTCGGACCTTGCCTTCCTCCTGGCGAGGACGGGCATGGGGGCTGGGCTGGAGAGCGTGCAGCTTGCTGCCAGGGCCCGGCCGGCGCAAGCGCTCTGTGTGACCCTGCACTGGGCAGCGCTGGTCTTTGGCGTGATCCTGCCGCAGCTGGTCTCCCTCAGTGCAGGTGTTGGTGAAGGAGTGGGGTGCCCCAAAGGAGAGGTGGTCCAGTTTCTGCTCTTGTTTTTCCATGAGGGAGGGGGGGGGGGGGCGGCGCGCATTAGGTCGCTATACAGGGAGGGATTGGGAGCCATCAACTCGAGGCATTTGGCTCCTGGCCGCTGTATGGCCTGGCGTCGTTTAACTCAAATACGCAGACACTCATTTGATCCCTACCCCGGCCGTGCAGAGGTCCGGGCCAGGAACAGCTTCCTGCGGCGCAAGGCGCTGCCCGGCAGGGTGTGCCCCTCCCTCTCCTCGACCACCGGGGTGGCCCTCCTCATCCCGCCCCTCACCGCGCTGAGCTGGATGGCGGTGATCGTCGCTGCGGGCCCTGCCTCTGCCTGACCGTGATGCATGGAAAGGGCCGTGACCCATTGTGCCCGGGGTCATACCACACGGAGCCCCCGTTCCCTTCACACACCTCTCCGTCCATTTTTCTCTCCTTGCACCAGGGCCCCAGCTGCCCCACAACCACAACCCTTTCCCATTCTTTTGGACCCCTCCACTGGCTTGAGGGCCTGTCGCAGGGCAGCCATTGTGCTGGCCCTCATCAGACGGTCCCCATCACCAGCCGACCCAGCTTGTGCTTTAGGGTCTTGCCCCGATGTTTGACTGAGCCTGAGCGGTACTTCCCCACCCCTCCGATTTTCCCCGGCTCGGACATGCTTCCTCCCCTACCAGGTTGTCCCTAGGCGAATGGAGTTGCCCTCAGCATCCTGCTCGCGCCACCGAGGTACCCTCACCCTCTACAGTCGCCATGGCGCCTTGCTCATGACCGCCGCAGCCCACCGGCGGACGGCCAAGAGTCCAACCCATGTGAGTGCCTTGTGCACACCCATCGATCCGCGATGCATCACCGAGCTGCCCCCAGACGTAGTCCTCCCTTCTTGGCACACGCCCCTTGGTACTCCTCCCGAAAATGCCAGCTCAGCCCTGTTGAGGCATGTGCAGGCCTACCTACATTATATACAAGTACCGGAGACGACTGGACCCCCTGTGGTGGTGGCCCCTTGATCCTCCTGCCCAAGCCCTACCGGTTGCTGCCATGCACGCTTGGCGCCCGCCCAGGCCTGCATTCTTTTTCCCCACCTGCGACGCAGATTGTTTATCAGAAGATATGGCAATATCCTTGAGAGCCTGGGAAGTGCCTCAGTACGGAGCAATCAGATGGTGGATGGTCTGCAATGTGGGTGCTGTGTGGGAGGAGCACACTGGGCAGCGCTGCAGCAATCAACTGTGGAGGCAGGTGGCCCCGGGACTCCTTACGGGGCCGGGCGCTGCTGCTGGCAGGTCTGCAGATAAGGTACAGCCTGAGATGTAGAAATGGGATACACGCCCGTTATGCATCTGCGGGGGGCCCGGCAGCCCGAGTGCGCGCCGCCTCCCTCAGCTCCACGGTGTACAGCTTTTGCTTCTGTGGAGGAAGGGGCATGTGGGATAACCAACGGGTGGGACACTGCCAGGAAGAGCTCTGTGAAGCCAAGCAGTGGGGTGGAAAGACAGGCGAGGAACACGCGGCCCCCTTTCCTCCCGCAGGCATGGCTGATGGGGCCCCCAGTCCTACAACCAGCGCACCTCCTTCAGGGTGTTCAGCAAGCCCTCCGAGCCAGGTGGCGGGCTCACACTCCCCGACAGCACATCCTCTGCAGTCCACCCCGCACCATACACCGACTCCATGGACTTGGTGTCCACAAACGTTCGTAGACCTGTGTTGAGTTTGGGAAGGGGGCGCCAGGGTGGACAACAAATAGATCAAACCTTGCCAGGGCTGCTGTGCCTGAGGGGCTGAGGAAGGGTTTGACCTGGAGTCTTTGGAAAAGATGGCGATCAACGTCTGCCGACCTTTCAATGTGGCAGGGAGCGCCACGATGCTGAGCCCAGAGCAAGCGACCCCTGCCCTCTGATTCCACAGCAGGGCCTACCCCTGAATGACTGAGAACTCTCGTCAGCACACCTTCCACACTGAGCATGTTGGCGATGACACCATTCACCAGATTGTAGGAGAAGAAAGTCTTGTTCTCGTTGTGTCCAAAGGAGAGGTGGGCGCCCGCCGACTCGCCCAGCGCGCCCGTGATGCACCCTCCCACGCCCAGCCTGCTCCCGGCAAATTTCTTCACCTCCTCAGGGGAGTCGACTATCACGCAGCCTGCACCAGAGTGGGGTGGACTTGCCGCGTGATAGATCGGCATGCGACTGTGAGATGTGGGCAAAAGACATTGGGAGGGGTTGTGTGCATCGATGAGGAGAGCAGGAGCGGGCAAGCAAAGTTGAGGGAACAAACGGAAAGCTCTCAGATGAATCAACCTCGCCAACCAAAGCAGTGTCATCTCCGTTTGCCATTGCATGCAAGATGTGAGCCGTCCTCCGCAATTCGTTCAGTCTTTCTATGCTGGAGACAAACCCCATTCAAAACTTCACGTACTGCTGATGGTGGTGTAGCCGACAGAGATGCCTATCCCTCCCGCCTTCACTTTGAGAAAGAGCGGGGCGCTCCATTTTGCGCTGGCCTGGGCATCCGCGGACGTTATGGCCGGGTTGTCCGTGGCATGCTTGTCGATGACCTAAGCAGTCAGGGCGGTGCAGAGAGCATGATGCTGGGGTCGATTTCCAGGGAGCAGGGCCTGCTGCAGCGGCCCTGGTCGCAAGCCTCCTGTACGGGGCCCTCAGTCATCAACTGTGTGATGGCCCAGCCTTGTGCATCCCTCCTCACCTTGGAAAGGATGAATCCCTGACCTGAACCACCTGTGATGCCCACCCCGACCTGCAGTTGTGCCAGAGGCTCAAACGTGAGTGCCTCTCAAGCAGGATGTTTGACACGCATCAGCACTGCAACACATGCCTCGTTTGCACTCGCCTTTTTCAAGAAGAAGAACGCGATGCCAGAAGCAAAGAATAATTCCCTGTATGAGGAAGAGGCGTCATGCCCAGCGTCTCTTTAGGCTGAAAACTCGTATGCACCTCAACGACTCGCAGTGCTAGCTGCGCAGCGCTGTCAGACTTGGTCATGGCCTGCAGACCCCTCTCCAGTGCCATCAAAATGTAGAAAAGCACCCTCAGCTCACCGTGAAGGCATTGCAGCTGCCCCTGTCTGAAGTTCATCCCGGGAGATCAGCTTGTCAATCACCTCTTCAGCCTTCCTGAACAGCTCCGCCACGCCCTGGCATGAATGGGAGGAGCCATGCATAGGGGAGGACGTGGGAGGCCAGGACGGGCAAGCCAGACAGGGGGGAATTCTCTTTCCAGTGTAAAGTAATGTTTCAATGGTACCACTGCCTCCATACCTCCTCGAGTGCAGCGTCTGCGTCCGTCATGTCCAACCAGCGTCAAGGGGGTACCCTCCGTTTCGTGGTGTAACCCAGTGGGAAGACCCGCAGGGATTGCGTAGCGAAGACTTTTCAGAGCATTATACAGGTCATCAAAGGTCGTTGCTGCACACGTATGCAGCGATCGCGATGCGATTCGCGCGAGGGGGCCCATGAGCTCTCAGCTCATCGATTACGTATGTCTCGGAGGAATGGAAGGGCACCACGAACAAGGGCATTTCGGATCTCGCTGTTGTAGCTGCATCTTTCAACAGCTTGAACTAGCATCACTGTCCTATCAAGCTTCAGTGTACATTCAGGGGCACACCCAGCTTGCATGGCTTCCTCGCGCATGCTCACTTTCAAGCTGTCTCCCTCCACAAGGCTGTTCATCCAGCGGGCGGACCTGACGACCTTCCGAGGGGATGCAATCGTCAACGCAGGTGCCTGACGTCCCAACGGACCCCCTTGTGTCCCACCTGTATTTTCTTTAATATGAGTCTGCAGAGCTCTGTCAGCTGTGGCATTTGCCCAGACACAATGAAAGCCTCACCAATCACTCCCCCCCCCCCCCACTCATCCCCCCTTTCCCCGCTCCCAGCGAACGAGCGGATGCTGGGGGGTGGCGGGGTGGACGGCGCCATCCACCGCGCCGCGGGCCCCGACCTCCTGCGCGCCTGCCGGGCAGTGGCGGAGGTCCGGCCGGGCGTGAGGTGCCCCACCGGTGAATGTCGCCTGACGGACGCGGGCGCGCTGCCCGCCCGCCACGTCATCCACACCGTGGGCCCCGTCTATGACGGCCCCGCCACGTCAGCGCCCCTCCTGGCCTCCGCCTACCGGGCCTGCCTGTGCGCTGCGCGAGACGCCGGCCTGGCCAGCATCGCCTTCCCGGCCATTTCCTGTGGCGTGTATGGGTATCCGCTGCGGGAGGCGGCGCGCATCGCGCTCAACACGTGCAGGGAGGAGGCGGGTGCGGTGCAGGAGGTGCACTTTTTCCTCTTCAGCGAGCCGACGCTGGAGGCGTGGACTGCTGGAGCCAAGGAGCTAGGGCTGGAGGAGGAGGGGGGCTGAGTACTTTGACCCTGGGGCATCCAGTCAGCGCTAGGATGTTGTGTGACGCGAGCGAATCGCCAGACCGCGCACCGCCTGCTCTGCACCATTGTCCTTTGATTCATTGCGGCAGGAGCTGTGCAAACAAGAGCTCGCCGCGCCAAGTCATCCCTTATCTGGGGTGGACCCCGGGCTTGGCTCGCCTGTGAGCTCAAGTAGGATGGCAGCGCTGCAGGGCATTTACCGCCGGCACGAGTTCAAATCGATGTGCACAAGACCCTGCAGCGGTGGCGCACAGACTCGCATGGGCCTGCGGGTGCCGCACCGGCTCGATGCCTCCGGTCCCTCGCATCAAAACAGTCTGAGCTTGGGGTCCTCCCCGGAAAACAAGCGCTTGTCCTCGGCGTGTTCCACCAGCTCTACCTTGTAGTCAGCATGCACCTGCATGGTGACAGCGTCGTGCAGTGGGGGCAAGCGCGTCGCGATTGCCAAGAATGGGCCAGCAGCAGCACGGAGTGGATGCTCCACCCCGTGCTGTGCCACGCTGCCTTGGACAGCCACACCCCCTGGCCCCGCCAGTGGCTGACCCAGAGGGGGGTGTCGCTTCACCCACCTTGTCCAGGGCAGCATACAGAGACTTGAGGGGGGCGGGCAGCTCCAGGTCCCCGGTCAGAGCCTTGGCCTGGTCGACGCCCGGCCCGTATGCGGCCCTCGCGGCATCCTCATCCAGGCTCAGGCACCCACCTGCACGTGTGCCAGGCTTGGTGAGATGGCGTGGGCGGCTTGGATGTGGGCACTGGTGGCTGAATGGGGCTCGCTGGCTCCCCGGCGCTGCCTGCACGAGGTGCCGCCATGGCATGCCAAAAGCTTTGGCTGCTCCCCTCTTTCCTCAAAAGGCTGGTATGCCACGCCAACCCGCCCGCACCTCTCAGGCTCAGGTCGACCATGTGCCCCTGCGCGATGGAGTACGACACAATGTCTCGCATCGCGGCAGGGCTGCCGAAGGTGGTGCCGGGGCGCTCCGCGGCATCAGAGGTGCCCAGGGCTGTGCGAATGTCGGCGCTGATGCCAATCCTGTTGTGCGGAAGGGGGGGGGGGGGGGGCGGGGGAGGGGGACTTGGGGGATTGGCCAAGGCCAGGGTGCAGGTGGGAGGGGGGCATGGTCCACTTCAAGGCCGGCATGTGAGACGTCCTGAGAGCCCAGGCTGACGCCATTTGTGGCGGGGCAGCAGACCTCCTGACCAGGACGGCTCGACACAGCCCCCAGTGTGCCCACTCACTGGAACTCCAGGAGGCCCTTGAGGGCCGCCTCAGATTTCACCACAGATATGCCTGCACAGGGCGTGTCGGTGATGCTGGCTGGCGCATCGGAACTGAGATGCAAGAGCAGACTCGAGCACCAACTGCTAGGGTGTCCCCATGCTGCCCTTTCACGGGATCTGCAGAGAGCGCACCCAGCCAGGCACTCACTCTTGATCTCGCTCACTCCGAGGGTGATACCCACCCCGCCCGAGCGAATCTTCACGAACACAGGGGCAGACCAAGAGTCCTCGCCGCCCACACCCGGGAGCTGTGGGGAGCACAGGGGGTAGTGGACATGTTGGAGGGCATCCAGGCCCTGCTTTGAGAAGCTGGCTTTGTTTCTCAGCATGCAGCCAACTTACGGCAGGGAGTATGCGGCTCATGTCCTGCCCTGAGATGCACCAGAGCACCGGCAGCAAGCCTGGCCTTGGCATCACCTTGGCAATGAGGAAGCCGTGACCGTGCTGGATGGAGGCAGCGATCCCGACCTGTGCGATGCATGGCCAGCAATTGGTGGGGCCAAGGGTGTCGAGCGGGTTGTGAGGTGCCATCTCGATGCACCAACTCAGAAGGCACAGATCATGGCAGAGCGGGGTGCTGCCTCCACATCCTGCCAAGAAGACACACCTTCTTACTAAGCATGAAGAGGAGCCCCTTGGCTTTGACCACCTTCCTGCGAAAGGGAGTTTGGTAGGGGCCGGAGGATGTGGGATGGTCTTTGGTGATATCTCCAGTAGAGAAGGAGTGTCATGAAAATCTCCACCCACCCGCGGGGTAGGGCCTCCGTGCCCCGAGGCAGCTCCTTCTGCATGATGAGCTTGTCCAGCAGGTCTACTGCCTGCTCGCTCATCACACGCAGCTCCTGGGGATTGGGGTTGGGACGTAGTAGGTGCCTGATCAAAACCCACGTGGCTCGTTGCCGCGAGCATCCCAACACTGTGCTATGAAAAGCGACACATTGGCCAGGTAAAGCTGTAAAACCTCATCAGATCGTATCATGATGTCGGAGACCCCCAGCACGGTCCGCTCCTGCGCGAGGCACACCTGCTCTGTGTTCGGCATTTTAACCAGTGCTCAAGTCGGCCGGCCCCACTCCAGGCGCTTGCGTGGAGGCAGTCACTTTCCAACCCCAACCTTTGGGACCAGAAGTGTAGCCTGGAACGATCGCAGGGTTCGCCACTGCAGTGTTGGGATGGTGGAAGATCTTCCGACGTGCGCAGCGACGTACGCCTTCTCGGGAGGGCAGATAGAAAACCCTAACCGAGGGAGACTCCAGATGCCCAAGTGCACGTGCTGCATCGAAGCCCAAGAAGAGGGCCTGACTGCGCCGGCTCAAGGCTGATCCCATTCGACTTGCGTATTCACTAGGATGATCAGGGGTACCTACTCGCCCAACGGGATTACGCCTCGACTGGGGTTGGAGATTGTCGGCCCCTTGTGCTCTTCCACCCTTTTGGCCCACAGGATGTTGAGCACCCCTGCAAAGATCCTCCTCCCACACTGCAGCTCCCACTTGCTGGTGCCCCTGTTGGGCAACGGCGTCCAGCTCCCCCACAGGGAATCTGCTTCTCCTTGCGCCCTATTCGTTGCTACGCCTCGCAGCAGTCTGACGGCTGCAAAAACCTGGGACGCCTTTCAGCGGTACTGTGCAGTGCAGGGATCACAGACGAGCAGCATGATACAGGGGCGAGGGAAGCAGGCATTGGCATTTACGTGAAGGTGTGTGGGGGGGGGGGTGGGAGGGGTTCCCTCTTCAAGCACAGTTGGTGCTGCCGCCAGGAAGAAACAGGAGGGTTTGATGAGGCCAGGGATTCGAGGGGTTTGCTTTGGAGGGGCAAAAAGGGGGATCTCGGGCACGTCGCTGCACAGCTGCACAGCTGGGCTTGGGTGCAGGGTGGCACGCGCCCTTCGATGCAGGCTCTCCCCCGCATCAGGCCGGCGCGCCCCCCATCTCGGAGCGGATGACGGCCGCCAGGCGGCGCAGGCCCTCCTCCACCTGCTCCGGCGTGTTGTAGGAGAAGGAGATGCGCATGGCGGGGGATGCGAACCCTGGCGTTCCCGCCCTGACGTTCAACGCGCCCCCCGGCACCGCCACGACCTTGGCCTCGCGCATGGCCTCCCAGATGCGGGCCGAGTCGGGGATGCCGCGCAGCGTGATCCAGAGGAACATGCCCGCCCGCGGCTGCTCCCAGTCGGCAAGGCCGGCGAGGTGGCGCTGCGCCGCGGCGTGCACGGCGGCGGCCTTGGCCGCGTAGTGGCGCTGGATGGCGCGGATGTGGGTTTCGTACCCCGCAGGCCCCCAGGCGCGCAGCACGGCCAGGGCGATGGCGGAGGAGATGGTGGAGGGCCCCGCGGTGGAGTAGGAGATGCAGGACAGCAGCTTGGCGACCACCGGCGGCGGGCCCGTGATCCAGCCCAGGCGCAGCCCCGGCGCCATCATCTTGGCAAAGGTGTCGACGCGCACCACGCGGCCGTCGAGGTCCAGGGACAGGTAGCCCGGCGCCAGGTCGGTGCCGGGGACGTGCTCCGGGCCGGCCGGGTACTGCAGGTAGTAGTAGGGGTCGTCCTCCAGGATGAGCAGGCCGTACCGGCGGCACAGGCGGTACACCGCGGCCATGCGCTCGCGGGTCACCACCGCGCCCGTCGGGTTCTGGGCCACCGGGTTGGTGTACAGCAGCTTGGGCGCGGGGCGGCCCGCCGCGGCGCGCGCCTCCAGCACCGCCTCCAGGCTGGCGGGGACGATGCCCTGCGCGTCGATGGCCACGCCCAGGGCCTCCACGCCGCGCGGCAACGTGTGCCCCTCCGTGACCACGGGGTAGTGGTACTCCTCCAGCACCAGCGCATCCCCCGCGTCCAGGAACACGTTGCACATCATCTCCAGCGCGTGGTTGGCGCCGTTGCTGATCATGGTCTCGGTCGCGCAGGCGGGGCGCTGGCGGGCCGCCACCTCGCGCTCCGCCCAGGCGCGCAGCGCGGGCAGGCCGTGCAGGGTCAGGTTGTACTGCTGGGCCACGCCCAGGTCGGGGACGTCCACCACGGTGCCGTCGTGCAGGCGCACGCTCATCTCCGCGATGGGGAAGACGTCGGGGGGGGGGAGCCTGTGGGTGTCGGAGGGGTGGGGGGTGGGGGGGAGGGGTACCGGGAAGGTGTGGGCAGGACGGGGATGGCTGCGACTCACACCCCTGCCCATGCCCCTCCCAGGCTCACCCCCACTCACCCTCCCGCCATGCTGACGACGCCCGGGACATTGGAGAACTCCGCGACCAGCGTCCTGCGGGCACGGGAGAGGGGTGGGGGGGGGGGGTCAACAGGTGTGAGGCCAGAATGACGCACCCGGAGGCCCGCGACGGGGATGCACGGCAAGGGCCAGGGATCACTTCACATCCCTTATCACCCACCTGAGGATGCCGGGCTGGCAGGCCTTGCCGACCTGGCTGTAGAGCGACTCGTAGTCGGGGGTCTTCCGGGGAGTGGGGCACGCGGCAGGGGCGAGAGCCTTGAAGCTCACTTTCGCGCTCAGGCTGGAAGACAGGCCTTCCATGCCCACGTCATGGGAGCTGAGCTCGTGAGGGGGCATCCCGAGGGAGGCTGGGGAGAGCGGGGAGGCTGGCTAGAAGTGGCCTCTGCAAGCCCGGTCGACGACCGCAAACGGGCCTTCGCAAGACGGAGCGGGTGCAGGAACACAACCAAGTAACAATGAGGATTGCAAGAATTGTGGCAATGTGTTCTTCGGGATCGCAAAGTGTGAGAGAATGGCTGACAGGCCCAGCGTCTCCCGTTTTATGCTCACGTAAGTCCGCGCCCCATCCAGTCCTACCCTTGCGGGTAGCGTCGGAGCTACTGAGACTAGGGAGGGATCGAACAGACGAGGTCTAGGTCAACTTACAAAACGATCACAATGAGTCACAATTGCAAGATCCCAGTGTAGATTGCAAGGCTGGCTTTGATGCGTACCATTGGATGGGGCCGCCCGGTTTGAAACGGCCCCGAGATGGAGTTGGCTAGGGTTCTCGGGCTTCCGGCACGTTTCGGCGAGGGGGCTTACGCTCCGACAGCAGCGCTCACCCTCGGAAGGAGGCGCTCCGATTCCCGCTGCGAGGGTTGACAGAACTTTTCTTCCCCGGCTTGATGCCAGAGTCGCCGCCGCCGTAGGGATTGTACATGCCCTCCGGGATGGTGGGGCGGCTCTCCTCGCCCCTGCCCCTGCCGTCTCCACTGCGTCCGCCTCTGGCCCCGCCCCTGCCTCCTCGCCCGCGCCCGCGCCCTCCTCGCTGAGAGTTCTCCACAGCTAAGGACAAGGGATGGTGAGGTCGAGGTTGAGGTCATGGGTTTCCGGGACTCCCATGCCTGGAGGCTGAGGTCACCCTGCCCACGGTGCTATTGGCCCTCCCCGTTCTCACACCTCTGGGAATGGTATTCTTGAAGGCATCCTTGGCGGTGCTGTAGTCGAAGGCCTGAAACCCCCTTTCAGCGCCTGGGGTGGGGTCGCCGCCCTCTGTCGGTTGTGAATGTGGTGATGGTGGGCTGAAATGCTGCTAGCTTTTCGAGCCCAGCAGGGTGCCAACGTCATTGCTGCCGCAAGGCAACACCCATCCACGGGTCCACTGATGGCGCGGTGCTAGAAGGATTTCGTTGCCTGACCAATCCAATCCACCATCGTACTCAGCCATGTTCCAAACGGCATGTCGTGGTCTCCCTCCCGGGTCTCCCTTCACCCCCCCTCCAGCATCACACCCACCTGATGCGGCGAGGCGGGCGGCGGCATGGCGCCGTCCCGCCTCGTACTGCCTCGCCTTCTTCCCCGCTCGCTCGTTCAGGGACAGGGGAAGGTAGTCTGCCAGGTCATCGCGCGGTCCCCGGGGTCCAGCAGGGGCCGCAACCCCGCGCATTGCCTCCATGGCCGACCGCACCTCTGCCGCCGTGGTGGGCTCTGCCTGCTCCAGTGCGTCCCCCTCAGTAGCTTTCGCCTCCTCCGGGGCATGGGCACTTGGTGCCTCTGCCGCCTCGCCATCTGCCACACCCGCCGGCTGTTTCGCAAAAGGGAGGGTCAGCGAGGCCCGGATGGCCGCCAGCGCGCGCGGCACCGCCCCGGCCCTTGCAGTTACAGGATGAGCGCCGCCAAATGCGCTAGACGACCCGGCCATGCGCACCGCTGGCACCCGTTTTGCGCCTGCCCTGGGTTTGCAGGGGTCGGGCCCGGCGAGCGGCACCGCAGCCACAGGTCCCGCCTCGCTTTCCCTTTGTAGCGTACTCGGGGCGGGGGGGGCGGTCTTTAGCTTTAACCACGGCCGCCGCCTGCTCCTGATGCTGCGGCTCTTTTGCGCTGGCCTGTAGCTCCTCTGCGCCGTCCTTCGCATGCTCACCACTTTGAGACCCGGCCACGCTGGCGATCGCTGCCGCATCATCCTCGACCGAAGCCCCCTCTGGCAATGGTCCTCCACTGCCCGCCGCAGCGCACGCCCTCGCGCTCGTCCCCGCGCCACTCAGTCTGACCGGGCCTCCCCGCGCCGGCGCCGCCGCGCCTTCCTGCGCAGCAGACGCGATGAGCGCGGCGCCCAGGCCCTTCCCCGTTGACCCGAGGACCAGCGGGCGCTTGATGCCACGCGGGCGCAGCGCGCGCTTTGCGGAGCCGGCGGCAGGCTCCAGTGTGGCTGTGGGCGCTGGGCCCGGAGTGGCGAGCTCAGGGTCGGCGTTGGTCGCTGCGTCCTCCGGTTCTCTGCTCTCAGGCTCGACCCGTGCGACATCCTCCGGCCCCGCCTGGTTCTTATGCGCCCGGCCGCCGGCCAGCAGGTACTCCCTGCGCAGCTCCTCCACGCGCGCCTGGCGCGCCGCCGCGCCGGCCACGACGGCCGCGACCTCGCGTGCGCGCAGAAGCACGTAGCGCGCGCGCCGGCCCAGCGCCGCCGCGACCTCGGGGCCCGTGGTGGGCATGGCCAGGGCCAGGGCCACCAGCTGGGCCCGAGGACAAATGAAGCCGGGGGACTCGTCCTGTGTGCGCGCCTCGCCGTCCCTCCAGTTGTACAGCGCTGGGAGGATTTCGATTGGGGTGTTGGGGTTGGGGATGAGAATGCACCGGGGATGGTGCGTGGATTGCGCAGCACCGCCCCATTTCCTTTGTCAATCGAGGGGATGCACAGGGGCTGTGCGTGGCATAATGTGACCACAAGTGGTCTGCACACAAACTAATGCGCCCTTGAAGAGCCCACTGAATGCGAGGATGAGAATCAAGCTGCCCAGCACTCTGAATACAACTTCACAACCTCACACAACCCAACCTCACCCTCAAAGACGGCCAGCTGGGGACCGGACAGGACCACGTCCAGTTTCAGTGCGGCCTGCAGGAAGCTGTCCTCCCTGCACTGCTCGCGCTCGTACTGCAGCATGCACAGCGTGCGGGAGCGCTCCAGCACAGTGCCCAGGGCCCCGCTGGGGCCGTGCTCGGGCAGGTCAACTGCCAAGTGGGGTGGCACCGACTCCTTGCTCGCCAGCAGCTCCTCCTGCGGGGTAGACGGCGCTGTGATGTGAGCTGGCTCATATTCGAATGGAGGAGCCTGCGCTGTGTTGAGGGCGCACAGGGCATTCTGCAGGACGGACTCGCATCCAAAGCCTAGTCAAAACGCGGAGGTGCAGGTTGTGGAGCGGCTCAGCAAACCTTTCCTCCCTCTGACATGCATGCCGACATCGGGGCTCAAAGGCCTCAACCATGGATGAGCGCACAGGATGCCCCTGCCCCGGGCCCGCCTCACCCGCATCTTGTCATAGATGAAAAGGAGGTAGTGGGTGTCCGCCCGAGCGTATGCCTCCATCTCCGGCGACAGCGGCCGCTGCCGCCAGTCGGCCAGCTGGTACCGCTTGTCCGCCTGCATATGGGAGGAGGCTGAGCTCAGCCTTGATGCCTGTTGCCTGGGCCGGAACGTACTCATCCTCTAGGACGTGTGGTTACCGCACAGGGCATCTCACCACATGATGCATTTGGAGGGGTCTTTGAACCGCGTCGCTCGATACCAGGCCACACAGCCGATTATTTGATTGGAAGCCTCACCCAGGACCCACCTTGATGCTACAAAAGTGGTCCATGAGGAAAGCCAGCCCATGGCCCGGGTACTGCAGGACGCGTGCCGCCTGGCCCGTGTCAAAGAGATTGGCCACGTAGATGCCAAAGTCCCGCTGCAGCCAGACGATGTCACAGTCTGAGCCGTGCAGGACCTTGAGCTTGCCAGGGTCGGCAAAGATGGGCCCCAGGAGGGGGCCTGCAGGGAGCAAGGGTGGTGTGAGGGGGACCAGGGTGTCGAGTGGCGCCAGGACCTGGGGAGGGAGGCCAGCACCATTCTAGGGCCCAGTCAAGGAAGACCCTCTCCCAACGGAAAGGCCACCCAGCGTCCCTGCCTCACCGATGTGGCTGCGCAGGGCTAACGCATCCACGACATAATCCGCAGCCCGCGTGGACAGCTGGATGAGGCAGGTGAAGCCCTGGAAGGAGCGGTATGAGTGAGCTTCTAGGTCCACCGCAATCTCGCGTGCCGCCTCCAGCTTGACAGCTGCATGGGGGTAGCAATGAAGGAGCGTGTTCAGGTGTGGTCTGGCTCTGGCCGAGTATGCTGGTCTTGGGGTATGCCGCCCCAAGACTCTAGCACTCGTGCACAAACTTTCGATCCCCTCGATTGCCCATGAGAGGCTTGGCTATCAATACGTGCACACAAACGAGGCAAGCCCCACCTTGAGCCACCCCACCAGCTCACCCATCTCCCGCAGCCCTTGCGGAGTGTCCACAAAGGTGTAGGGCGTCGTGTCGAATCCCAGGGGGAGCTGGGGCGGCGCAGCCTCCGTCTGCCATGGCTGGTACCTCAGCGTGCTCAGCACGGCCTGCAGCGGGTGCGGCGGCTGTTGGTCGGCCGCCAGCGCCGCCGCCGCAGCGGCCGCCTGGCCGCCGCCGTCGAACGTCGGCACGGCAGACAGGCCATCGTACTTTGGCATCACCCGGACATTGGCGTTGTCCACCCCGTCCTCGAACGCCAGCTGCGACTTGGGGCCCGTGCCATCGGGGGTCCAGCGTCCGTGGGAGGTGGGGCTGGGGGCGAGGGCGCCGGAGACGGGCTGGGCCGCCCGCCCGGGCCCCTCCTGCCCCGGGCGGGTGGTCATGCGCCCCCCTTTATTCGCGCCGGCCGCATCCAGGGCCGAAGCGGTGAGCGCGTCGTCCAGCGCATCGTATACGAGCTCCAGCCTCTCTGTCACAGCGTCCGTGAACTCGTCATCCTCGAGCTCCACAGGAGCTGATGTTTCTTTCCCGGATCCCTGGGAATGGGAAGCCCCTCGACAGGTATTGGTCACTGTGAGGGGGCGGCCCAACCACTCCTGGCCGACAGCACCCAATGCAATGCCCCAAGTCATGTTCACTTCTGATCCCCGTCCCTGCTTGTATCAGATTGAGGTCTCTGCTCGCAACCATTGCATTTCCCATCCACAGCCCCCGTCATTCTCTACGCACTAGGAACCGTTGTGCAGTCTTCTGCACCGTGCTCCTCAGGGCCAACACCCTGGCCTTATAGGCGGGGTTCATCATGTAGTACTGTGGGATCAGGCGTGCAAGGGAGGGAGCCTTGAGCTTGAGAATACTTCCCCTAGAAGCCCGCAGCACGGCAAGTCATTGACGAAGACACCCCCAGCCACGCACATGGAAGTCCGCGCCGCTCGGCAGGGAGCAGCCACTCCCCTTTTGTGATGCATTGGAGAGCGGCGCGAAGAGGGTGAGGGATAGGTCCTCCATTGGAATGGAATCCGAGGTGGGTGAGGTCCAGCAGGTTGGACCTTCACAGCATGCTGTCGGGGACAGGCAGCGAGCAGCTCGAGATACCGCTTGTGTTTTGGACACTGATTTTAATTAAAGAAATCAAGCGAGTAAGCTCATATGTAGGTGCATGCCCAGCTTCCCTGTGGGACATATCGCCGGTGTGGTGCCTTTCGGAATCGGGCGCGCACTTGCAGCACTGCGCTCATGGGACGCAGTGCAGGATTCCCCTGGTATCCGCGCCGAGAATCCCCGACGGGGGAGTCAACAGACCAGGACACATTAGCCGTCACTACCATACTATCTCCCGGACCAAACGCACGGAACTTCGGTTCAGGAAAGAGGGCTCGTGCGCTGGTGGCGTCGCGATGATGCTGCAAGCACCCACCTCCTGCGGTGTGCAGCAGCGCTGCCTGCCATCTCTGTGCACCTTCAGGAGCACAGATGTAACCTCCTGTAGATATGTGAGGAGGATGCAGTCCCTGCGAACGACCTCTCGCGCACACGTGACAGTCGTCTGCAGCCTGAACAACTCCACGGTTGTGCAAGGTGGGGCAAGGCACCAGACCTCTTACAGCCCTTCTCTGAGATGATGGGGAGTTTTGTGCCTTCAGAGATCTGCATAATTTGTGGAGTATCTGGGAAATCATGCAATGCAGCGCTGTCCAGGGTTCAGGAACAGGCATATGTCACACTCTGCACCGACCCCCCCCCCCCTCCCCCACTGCATCGCAGCTCCTCGGCCGACCACCCTCCAGCAACGAGACAACCTGCGGCTTGCCCTTCCCAGCAAAGGACGCATGGCAGAGGACACACTGCAGCTGCTGAGGGTGTGCAGTGCGTGCTTTGGGGTCTGAAGCTGGGGTGACAAGTGTACTGATTGGCAGGGCTTGCGGTTGTTGCAAGGCCGAGGTGCACTGTCATGCATGCATGCATGCATGCGTTACCGGACAGTGGAAGAATGATGGTCTTCTACCACTACACTGAGCATACCTTGCTTGACGCATTATCTCAAGGGCTCCTTCCGGCATCACCGCCACAGGACTGCCAACTCACAGTGGTGAAGCCCAACCCCCGGCAATATGTTGCAGAAATCGCACAGGCAAGCCCGGTCTGCAGTGTATGATGTTTTATAGAGGAGTTGCAGAGCAATGTCTGGGATACACAGCTGGACCAACAGCTTCTCTAAACGGCTCTTGGCACCAGCCCTGAGGCAACCTGTCTGGTCGCCAGTTACAGATCCTCATATCCTGTCCTCTTGACCCCTGCAGATGCCCGGACTGGAGGTTTGGTTCCAACGGGCAACCGATGTTGTAAGGAAGCTGCTCTACGGAGACGTAGACCTTGGCATCGTCGGCGCCGACATGGTAGCGGAGATCGGCAATGACGACCCAGGTGGGAATTTGGGGGCACAGCTTGGGAAGGGCAATTGGCTGGGGATGGTGCTCCACCATCCTGGCTCCCCTTCAGGCACCGAGGCCCCATTGATCGTACCAACACACCACCCCGGCCACTCCATTCCAACCTTGCTCTTCAGATCTGGTGGTGGTCCACGACGGTCTCTCCTTTGGCAAGTGCCACCTGGCGCTGGGAGTCCCCAACACCGGGAAGTTTGCCGGGGTCAAGTCTCTGGACGACCTCAAGCGGATGTACAGCAGCGAGCAGGCCCCCCTCAGGTGCGGTGCTGGGGTTGGTGCTATGTGGTGGTGCGGCCAGCTGACTCGTGGTGCAGGTCTGGGTTGTGACTTTGTCTTGAGTGGTAATTTTGGAATCCCCCTGTCCCTGCCCAATGCCAGCAGCCACCACCATCCTGTGTCTCCCACTCCCTCGCAGGGTGGTCACCGGCTACCACAACGTCGCTCGCAAGTTCTTCGCGGACAACAACTTTGAGCACGTCAAGCTCCTCAGCGCCGATGGTGAGCGTGCGACTAGGCGGGTGACTGGTCGCGTGGATGGGTCGAGGCCCCCGGGTTCCACAGTGCTCTGCACGCAGGCCCCCCGCCCGGCCCCCTTCTTCTTCAGGGCCCTGGTTTCGATCCTCAGAATTCCTCAAACCCCACCGCCCCCCCCCCCCCCCACGGCGCGCTGGAGGCGGCCCCCGCCATGGGCTTCGCCGACATCATCCTGGACCTCGTGTCCAGCGGCGTGACCCTGCGCGAGAACAACCTGCGCGAGGTGGCGGGCGGCCGCGTGATGGCCTCGCAGGGCGTGCTGGTGGCCAGCCGCCGCGCGCTGCTGGAGCGCCCGGGCCTGCTTGGCCTCGTGCACGAACTGCTGGAGCGCCTGGACGCGCACCTGGTGGCCGACAGCTACTACTCCGTGGTGGCCAACATGCGCGGCGAGTCGGCCGAGGCCGTGGCGGCCCTGCTCCTCGGCTCCAAGCTGCTGGGCGGGCTGGAGGGGCCGACCATCAGTCCCGTGCTGACGCGCGGCGCCGACGGCGGGCCCGCCCAGCACGGCTTCTACGCCGCGCAGGTGTGCGTGCCCAAGAGCCTGCTCTACCCCGCGGTCAAGGAGATCCGCAAGGTGTGAGGGGGGGTCAAGGGGGGTGGGGGGGAAAAGGGGGGTGGGGGGAAAAGGGGGGTGGGGGAGGGGGCTTGATGTAGGGTTCAAGGGCAATGCATCTCAGGGGCCTCTTCAACAGGCAGTCACAACATGACCTGGTGGGACCGCTCAGCGGGCGGTGGGGCGAGGGCAGCCTGCAGTCTAGCACGCAGCGGCGCAGGCCTCGCAGGAGCGTCGTTTGCCCATTGATCGCCCTGCCTTTGTCTCTAGGCAATGCGTCCCGTGCCCAGCTTGATCGTGCCATCCACCCCACCCACCCACCCAAAAAACAATACACAGCTGGGAGGGAGCGGGGTGCTGGTGCTGCCCATCATGTACATCTTCGACGAGGAGCCGCACCGCTGGCGCGCACTGCTCGACACGCTGGGCCTGTCTAGGGGAGATGTGGCGGTGTGAGGCACGACCTGAAGCGCTTGGCCCCGCGACAGCAGGGTGCTTGGGCGGCAGGACCCAGACCCGGAGGGGGGGGGGGGATCTCCTTGTGCATGGCGCTGGGACCCCCTCCCCAGGGCCTGATGTGCCTCTTTGCCATGCCCCTCTGCCCCTCGCTGACACTGTGACAGAGTGCCTTGCCATTGACAGAGGAAGGGAGGACATGGGAAGGGCATGAGGGGGGCCAAGGGCCGCGCACCGTGAGCACGCCAGCGACCCCTCACTGAGACCCGCGCTGGACCCAGGGCCGCGCCGGCGCGGCGTCGGCCCGCAGGATACCCATGGCGCGTGCCGTCTTGATCTGGCGCGCCACGTGCTTGTGCAGCTTGGCGGATAGCTTGGTGCGGCGGCGGGGGACGATGCGCCCGGTGTCTGCGCAGGGAGAGGGGGTAACTAGTGGTGAAGAGGAGACACAGGGATCGGAATGGGTTTGGTGGTGGACACGGTGGTGGGCCAAGCACGAGCACGATGGACGCGGCAGCTCCGCGCCTGCAGACACTCCTTGGCCTTGCAGCCGCTGCAGCCGGCGCCATGCACAAGCATTACATTCTCTTGGACAGACTGCAACAGGAAAGCAATGCGTCAGTCGCCACCCCACTCTAGCGCCTGCCTGTGATGAAGGAGGAGAGGAAGGCCGCGTCCCTGAAGTCTGCTCGTGCAAGCACGACCTTGGCAGGGATGGCCGGCGGTTGGCGGGTGACGCTGCGTCCAAACTCCGGGGGGGCCGCCTGGTACGGATCCAGGTCCTGTGGTGTTTGTAGAGGGGGTCGGTGGCGTCGGGAGCTGGAAATTAAAAAGGGGAGGCCCTCAGGTTGGCCAGCCGTGGCGATCCCCTAGCCTGCCGACACGCCGAGTCTACGCTTGCTGTGAGCTCAGGGCTCCGCATCTGGTGGCGGCGGCCGCATCCCTGACACCTTCCCCAGACCCCTTGTCTGGCCCTTCACGGCCCTACCCCGCTCCGCCTGCCCGTACCTCCGGGGAGTAGGTCTGGCCGGGGTAGAAGAGGCGGAAGGGGTGCACCCGCGAGGGCGACTGCTCCTCCGCCTTGTTGCCAAACACGGCACGCGGCGCGTCCGTGGCCTGGGCCAGCAGCCCGTAGCTGGCAAAATCGCCCTCCGGCCGGCCGGGGGCCGGGGTGGGACGGGACTGGGCCATGACCTCCATGATCCCGGCACGGTCCAGGGTCGCGGGGCCCTTGCCCTTGGCCGTGGCGTGCCGCGCGGCGCCCCGCCCCGGGAGCAGCTCGTCAAGGGGCCGGCCGCCGGTCTGCTGCTGCTGCACGCCGGCGGGTCGCAGGGCCGGCCCGCTGGAGTCCGCTGCGGCTTCGCCAGAGGAGGTGCCAGACGCAGCGTCAACTGACGCCTCTGGAGCGGCGTCCCGGCGCAGGCACGACTCGCTCGGCGGCGATGCCTGAACGCCACCCTGGCTCGATGATGCCTCTGTAGCTGCACCTGGATTGATGTATGGAAGCGCACATAGTCGTTGGCCAGAGAGTGGGGCCGAATGTTCGTACGAGGAGCACCGGCCAAGCCAGAGTCTCCCCCCCAGCACAAGTGTTGGCCACGGCCTACCAGCGACACAATGCATGCAATCGCATCCACCTTTGTTCAGGTCGTCGAGCTGCCCGTCAGCCCACTCCCGCCATGATTTGCTGGATGTCTGAGCCGGCTCCGCCTCGCTCGTGGGTAGGGACTGGGAGGAGTTGGAGTCCTCGCCTGGGGGCAGAGTACTCAGGCGCATCCATCCATTCTGTACCTCTGCACACCCATACCCTCGCAAAGATCGGCTGACCAACAGGCCACACAGCCGCGAGCGGGACAGTGCGGCAGGGAGCATACTCTCCCGGAGAGCTGCCAACACCCGGGATGCGCTGCAATTTTGTTTGCAGAAATATACTGGTTCTTAATCCTTCGGTTTGTATTCAACTAAGATTCACCCATCGCCAGTGCCGCGTCAAGGTAGTCTACACCATGCTGCTCAGTCGACAAGGCTACACACACCAATTCCGCACTTTCCATCGGAACCCCCTACAAATCACGTTTGACCAGCTGGGCCACACCCCGCGCGCGTCAGCATGTGCAATGCCACAGAATGGGTGGAGATCTCCCTGATTTTAAAAATGATGGGAGTGCTGGAGTGCTGGAGGGTGCTGCGCGCAACCCACAAATTCTAAAAGGGGAGTGATCCCCGCGCACAGCGCTTTGGAACTCCGCGTCGGCCCCGTGCCCGATGGCTGAGATCATCCCATTTTCCGTAATCCACTGCACCTCAGAGGTAAGTGCGCCCCCGTTCGATCCACCCATTGCATCTGCATGCTTCCGGGTTTCTTGAACAAACCCCACCACTGTATGCCCGCAAAGTGATCTCGACACCGCGAGCTAGCACGGGGTCAACGCGTTCGCACAATCCCACAGGAGCATGGCCATCCCTGCACGTCACTCGAGAGGGGGGGAAGCACTTCGGGATGGGCGTCTGCAAGGCAAGCAAGATGCCTGGGCGGCACCAGACTGGTCTTGCCCAGCCGAAGGGATAATACCCCTGGGAGGCAGTCTCTCGTATGCAAGCAATGCATGCCGTGCATGCTTGGATTGTACTCCCAGCACCCAATAACTCTGTCGCCATCTGTGTCGCAGGGATTCCCCCTTTCCCCAAGAAGTCACGCTGCAGCTGCGAGGCGCTGTGCGACTCACCCAGCTCCAACTCCTCGCGCATGAGTACAAGGTGCCGCCTGGGTGCCGATGGTGGTGAGACACCAGGCTCTCCAGACTCATGCCACACCTCGTCCTCCTGTTCTTCCTCCACCCACCCCCTCTCCACACCCCCTCGCCGCAGATCGCCTCCAAGGTCGAGATCCGGGTCGCCGAGGACGCCGCGGCCCCCGCCTGGCGGAGCCTGGGCTTCCTGTCCTTCAGCCCCAACGACCGCAGCGGGCACGCCGCGCGCGAGATGAAGAGCGTCGCCCTGCCCGGCCCCCCCGCCCACCTCGTCCAGCTCATCTTCCACGGCTGGCACCCCAACGCCCTCAATGCCCATGGCCAGGTGGGGCTGGTGTCCCTTGCCGTCAGCGGCGAGGCGCTGCCCGGGCAGCCACCGCCCAGCCCGGCGCGCTCCCCCGTGGTCAAACGCGGCGCGCCGGGGACCCCGCCCCGCGCCGCGCCGGGCGAGTCCAGGCTGCCTCCCCCGCCGGGGATCCACGGCGGCGCGGTCGGGCCGCCCGCCGCCCGCGAGGCACAGTCGACGCCCACCAGGCTGGCGACCGGCTTTGCGGGCGGGGCGCCGGCGGCAGCACGGCCAGCCCGTCCCCAAATCGCGGCCGATCCATGCTCGCCGTCGCGCGCGGACTCGACGGGCACGCAGGCACGCACTCTGGCGGTCGGGCGCAGGACCCCCGACGCGAGGGTGGACCCGGTGACGGCCGCCCAGATTGACACACTGCAGCGTCAGAAGGCTGCCGCCGTCGAGGCGGAGGACTACGACGAGGCCAAGCGCCTGAAGAGCGCCATAGACCGCCTCTGCTCCCTCGGTACGCGGGCTTTGGGGGTTAGGAGGGGGGGGGGTCTGGGACCTGTCGATGCATTGCTGCAGGTAGAGGGTGGGATTGTGTTTGCGCCCCTGCGGTACCGCATGCATGCTGACACAGGGCCACCTGCTACTCCAGAGCCCCAGGAGCATGCGCTGCCGTGCACCGACCCTGCCTTCTCCTAACCCCGACTCCCGCCCAAACTCGCAGGAGCCAGGATCGCCGGGCTGGAGGCCAGGAAGGCGGCGGCCGTGGCCGCCGAGGACTACGACCTCGCCAAAGAAATCAAGGCGGAGGTGGACGGCCTGCGCCGCGTCTCCCAGCGCGGCTCCCCGGCCCGAGCCCACGGCTCTGGGCAGGAGGGCGAAGACCCCCGCGACCCCGGGCCGCGGCCCCCCTCCCCGCCCTGCCCGACGCCCGTGCGGCCCGACCTGCAGCAGGCGCCGCCCGGCGGCCTCGCCGGCCTGCGCGCTTCGCTGGTGGCCGCAGCCTCCCACATGGGCGCCGAGGTGGAAAGGATGAGCAGGGAAAGGGCCGCGGAGACCAGCCTCGGTGACGAGGGTTCGAGCGGAGACCTGGGCCCCGGTTCGAGTGGGGCGAGGCCAGCCCCGGGCGAGCGTGGGGACGGGGAGGGCCGCACCTCGGCCTCCACTTTGTGGGCAGAGCACCCGCCGCCCCCGGGGTTCCCTGTTGGTGAGGGTAATTGGAAGGGAGGGTTTCCTCCTGGCGCGGCGTGACCCTAGCATTGTGAACGGGGGGAGCGTGGAAGCCTGAAAGTGGTAGAGGGAATACCTATGCAGCATGTCACCTTCTACACCGTATCCCCACTCGATGCCCGTCGCCCCAGATCTGCCACTCCCGGAGCCGCTCTCTGCGGCAGCGGCCAAGGATGCCGACGAGCTGGTCCAGTTGATAGGACCGTACGCCTCAGCCTGCCTCCTATCCAAGACCTGGCAGCTACGCGTTGCGGCATTGCAGGCGAGAGGGCCTGAATGGCTGCTCTGCATTGGCGGGTTTCAGTGGGAAGAGGTGGTGACGGATCAGGAGCACCAGCGCACAAGACAGCTCCTGGGCTGCCCTGGCATGCTGCTCTATTCCTTGGCAGGCACACGCATTCCCTGGACAATGACTTCTGCCTGGACGGTATACTCACCCAGACCCACCCCCTTCCGCTTCCCCTCGCAGTGGCTGGAGGCCGGGGCAGGCCGGGCGCCGGGCCTGCTCGCCGACCCAGACAACTTTGGGTTGCTGGCCCGCACGCTCAGCGCTGCTCTGCACGACAGAGTGGCGGCCGCCTACCTCGCCGCCCTGCCTGCCCTGCTGCTCCTGGCCCAGTGCCAGGTGTGTCTGCTGTGGCGCAGGGCGCTGTGGTCGGGAGGGTTGGGGTGAATGGTGTGCCAGTTGCCGGAGCCATGACCATCTACTTGTGGGTTTACCCAAAGGTCTCTTGACGCAGAGGGTCCATCGCGCACGAGGGACACCCCCCCCCCCGGGCTGGGCTGCGCTGGGGTCCCCCTTCCCATTGGATCATTGCTGCCGATCTTCGCTCCCATCCTGCGACCCAACCCCTGCCCCGCCCCCCCTCCCAGGGCCTCCCCCGCGGCCGCGTCGTCTCAGGCCTCACCGACGCGGTGGCCGTACTGGTAGAAAAGTCCGGTGACCTGAATGCACGCGTGGCTGAGGCCTCCACTGGCACCCTGCTGGCGCTGGTCCGGGCCGGGGCCACGCAGCTGGCCTCCGCGCCGGGCGCGCTGCTGCGCGCGCCGAGGCCCGGCGCCGCGCCGCGCGCGGTCCTGGGCCGCCTCGCGCTGGCCCGGGCCCTGGTGAGGGAGCTGGGCGTGGCCGCGCCGGGGGGCGCGCGCGCGGGCCTGCCCGTCGAGGCGCTTTGCGCTTTCCTGGCGCCGGCGCTGGGCCACACGGCGGGCGAGGTCCGCTCCGCCGCCGTCGATCTCTGTGTGCTGGTGCGAAGCTGGAAGTGGAGGGAAGGATGAGGGAGGAATTGTCCCAGGGAGGGGGGTTGGAGTGGGCCGCGCGTCGGTGCCGACCCCCTCATTCAGTGATGCTGGCTCTGCGCTGGTACACTCCGGCCCCATCCCCTTTCCAGACGAGCACAGCGTGAGTCGCACAACCCGTCCAGCCACGCACAAGGAGCAGGCAGTACATTGTCCTCACAGCCACACCTCGTCTGCCTCCATCCTTTGCAGGTCGGAGAGGTCGCAGGTCCGGGAATCTTCGCGCACCTGCTGCCCTCCAACCTCAACCCGAAGCTGAGGGAGGCGGTGCTCAGCGGGGGAAACGCGACCAGCCCCTCCCGCCGTGCCTCGACGCAGACGGAGGCGGCCAGGGACGGCGCGCGCGCCTCGCCAGCGATGCCTGCCGGCGGACGCAGGGGCCCGCCGGAGCCAGGCGGGACCGTCTCACACAAGGCAGCCTCGCAGCGGCGGCCTGGCGCCCAGCACCGCCCCCACGCCTCCTCCGGCGAGCACGAGGCGGCGCGGGGGCGGGGGCGCCCCGCGTCCGACCCCTTCGCCAATGCCGCGCCGCTGCAGGCCAGCCCGCTGGGGAGCGAGGCGAGCAGCCCCAGCATCCGCGCGGGCGGCGCCGACGATGACGACGCCGCGCTGTTCGCCGCCGAGCTGGCGGCGCGCGAGGCGCGGCTCGGCCCCGCCCACCCGGAGGTGGCCGACGCGCTTTCCAACCTGGCCATAGTGCACAACCAGGCGAGGGCGGGGCGAGAGAGTGGGAGTGGAAATGTGGATGGGGGTGGGATGGGGAGGAGTGATGGCGGTCTGGTTGGGGGCTCAGCATGGCGGTCGGGGCATTCCTGTGTCCTCTTCCCTTTGGGCAAAGATCGACAGAGCACAGCAGATAACAAAGCATGGCATCCACCTCCCGCACCCACCGACCCCACGCCTGCGCAGAGGGGCGAGACGTCGCTGGCACTGCCGCTGTACCAACGGGCGCTGCGCATCTGGGAGGGCGCGCTGGGGCCGGACCACCCAGAGGTGGCGCATGCGCTCACCGACATTGCAGTCATCTTCCTGGAACGGGTGAGGCGTGCCGTGCGAGAGGGGGCCAGGAGGGCATAGGGAGACCACCACCCACAGACAAGCGTAGTCCACCCGAGAATTCTGCACCATCCCTCCTCTGCGGTCCTCCCCCGCGCACCCTCCTCAATGCTCCTGCCCATCCTCCAAGGCCCTCCTGCATCACCTCCCAACTGTGCACACAGGGCGAGGACGCCAAGGGTAGGCCCCTGCTGGCCCGTGCCCTGGCCATCCAGGAGCTGGAGCTGGGACCTGCGCACCCAGACGTCGTCGCCATCCGGGAGGTGCTGGAGGAAAGCGCGGCAGCATGAACAATGTATCCATCCCCTTCCCTGTGCTCCGCTTTCGTGCTCCCCCTGCCCTGTCCGTCTCTGCTGTTGTGCACACGTGCCCTAAGAAAATTGCAAGGAGGAGAGTGTGCAGGCAGGGCGGGGTGCGACCCCACTGCGTCAGGTGTGGGCTTCCAGGCCGGGACTCTTCTCAGGCACGGGGACGAGCTGCAGCCTCAGGGCTGCCAGCTGGTCGTCGCCGACGGGGGCGGGCGCCAGGGTCACGGCGCAGGTGCCCTGCGTCGTCTTGGGAAAGGCGATGACGTCACGGATGCTGCTGGCGCCGCACAGCAGCATGGCCAGCCGGTCCAGGCCCAGGGCCATGCCTGCGATGGGATGAGGAAAGGACGACGGGGGTGCTGGTGGCTGTGGTGCATTCGGAGACCACACGCGAAGAGTGATTGGCGCCGCAAAAATTGTGAAACCAGCCCAGGACATACAGGGGCACCCTCTCCCAGGCTGGAGAATAAAATGCCATGTGTCATGCAGCCCACCTCCATGGGGCGGAGCACCCTGATCCAGGCAGTCCAGGAGGTAGCCGAACTGGAGGGCGGCCTCCTCTCGTGAGAGGCCGATGGCGTCAAAGACCATCTGCTGGAGGTCTCGCCTGAATGGTGGGGAAGGAGGGCAAGGAATGGATGGTGACTTTGCTGAAAGGCTGGGAGTGAGTGACTGTACAGGTCCCAGCCACTGGAGGGTGTCTTGCAGCCACCGCCGACCAGGGTCCTCAGCAGCTCAGGCCAAACCCAGTTTCAAACCTGTAGATGCGCAGGCTCCCGCCGCCGACCTCGACCCCGTTGTACACGAGGTCGAAGGCGTGTGCCCTGCACACTGCCAGCGGGACGCCCTGCGCAGAGGATTGGAGATGGAGGGGGTGCTCGCTGTGCTAGATTAAAGATAAGGCCTACAAAGGCACAGAAAAAGAAGATGCCTGCCCGCTGCACACCACCGAGTGGGGAGATGGAACCGCGGGCCAGTACATTACATCCCCACACATTGCTTCACCTGCGCGATGTCGTCCTGGTTGGGGGCGGTGAAGGGATGGTGCAGGGCCACCAGGCGGCCGGCTTCCTCATCCCTCTCAAACATGGGAAAGTCCACCACCCACAGCAGGGAGTGGGCAGAGTCCTGCGGAGGCAAGGTAGGCTGGATGGTTGAATCCCAGAAGCCAGTCCTGCTTGTGCATGAGGCAGAGGCAAGGCCCCTGTGCGGCAGCTGGGTGGCCTGATGTTCCCGCCCCAGCGCAAGCACGACCACTCCAGGCATTCACCTTCACGAGTCCAAGGGAGCGACCGAGGTGTTGTCGGACCCGGTCCATGCCCTTGTGCACCGTGGCTGCCAGCCCAGCCCCGAAAAGCAGGAGGTCGCCCTGGCATGTGTCAGTGAGGATGATGTTGATCAGGGACAGATGAGGACGGAAGACCTCCAAAGCATGCCTGAGAGTCATGCATTGACCCATCCAGCGATCAGAACCTTCCCTGTACGTTCCAAACTCACGGGCTGCGCTCCCAGGACCTCGCCCATCTGCTGCAGGCAGCTGGGCCCCAGCCCCTGCACAACCGCCGAGGCGCCCTCCAGCTCCCCGCCCGCCCCGACACGGAGCGAGACGAGGCCCCCCAGCCCTTGCGCGGCTGCCTGGGCTGCTCAGAGTGGGGTGCAAGGAGCGGGTACTGAGTGTCCCGTTCTGATCATGAATGCAACAGGCGCGGGAGGGAGCCTTTCCTCTGAAACACGGTGTCACCCGGTCACACAGGATGCTACCGCACAGCTGCGCTCCTTGCTTCCCAAACAAGCTGATGTCAGCGTCTCAGCAGCACCGACCTGCAATGTCGCCCTTGCCCTTGAGCCGGGAGTTGGAGATGGCAGAGCCGTGGGGCACCCTCAGGCCCTGCACGATGCCACCCTGCGCCACCGCATCCGCAAACAGCCTGCAGGTGGAGGGAGTGACCACCGTTTCACCGGCGGCTGGCGGCGGTGCAGCAGCCCAGCGCCCAAGTGCACCCCCCTCCCCCCAGCACGGAGGTACCCACCGGAAGTCGGAGCCCCTGACCGCCTCGGTCACATACGTCATTTCCAGACCGAAGCGCAGATCTGGCTTGTCGCAGCCGTACCGCTCCATGGCCTGGCTGTACGAAAGACGAGGGAAGGGCGCCGCAACTTCCACGCCCAGCACCGTGGCAAAGACCCGTGCCATGAGTCCCTCTGCCAGCCCTATGATGGCCTCCTGGTCCATGAAGGAGGTCTCCAGGTCGAGCTGGGTAAACTCCGGCTGCCGGTCGGAGCGCAGGTCCTCGTCGCGGAAGCAGCGGGCCACCTGCGAGGGGGTGGGGGGTGGAGGGTATGCTAGCAGGAGAAATGAGGTGGGGTGGAGGGGGCTGCAGCGGGACCTTGATACCCCTCTGGGACGCACAGGATTGCTGGAGACACCATGTCACGTTCCTCTCCTCCGTACACTATGGCCTCCCCTTTAGCACCCCGGCACACTGCATGCCCTCCAGCTGCGACGCCACACCCCACCCGCCACAAACACACCCCGCTTCGCACCTGGTAGTAGCGGTCAAACCCCGCCACCATGAGCATCTGCTTGTAGAGCTGCGGGGACTGCGGCAGCGCGTACCATTCCCCGGGTTGCACCCTGGAGGTGGACCGAGGGAAGCGCGATTGCAAGATTCCTCCATCACCAAGTTGAACCGTCTCCACAAATCCAAGCGGTCCCAGTCCCTGTACACCTCTGCGCCGCCGCCCCAGCGTGCGCCACCGGCTGCGGCACCAATCCCGCCCCTTCTTCACCCCTCCACCTCCTTCTCGCACCGGGAGGGCACGATGAAGTCGCGTGCGCCCTCCGGCGTGCTCCGCCCCAGGATGGGCGTCTCGATCTCCAAGAAACCGTGCTCGTCCTCCAGGTAGCGCCTCATGCACCGAGTCAGCTCGTGCCGCTTGCGCAGGTTCAGCGCCATTTGCGGGCGTCTGGGTGGAGGAAAGAAGGAATGGGGGCTTAGGTCGATCGACGGCGGCGACCCATTGCGGTGTTGGCCCCCGGCCCCCTTGCCCGACACACGCAGGGCTCCGGCGCGCCTGGAGCAGGCCGAGTCCATCCCCGCCCCACCGAGCCTCTGCCCCTCGCCACCCACACCTGAGGTCCAGCACCCGGTGCCGGAGCCTGACCTCGTCTCGCAGCGCGTCGGCGCCCTCTGGAGAACTTGCAGAAACGGGGATGGGCAGGCCACCCTGGACCGGGTTCAGCACCTGGATGCTGGAGGGCTCGGCCTCCACCGCGCCGCTGGGCAGGCCCGGGTTGGGGTCGCTACGGCGCCGCACCCGGGCCCGTACGCTGACCACGGCCTCGGGGCGGAGGCGGGCCGCGACGTCGTGCAGGGCGCGGGGCGAGCCGGCGTCGACGACCACCTGGACCACGCCGGTGTGGTCGCGCACGTCCAGGAAGGTAATGGCGCCCAGGTTACGCACCCTGTCCACCCAGCCGCACAGGCTCACGGCCTGGTCGATGTCGGCCTCCCGCAGCATGCCCGCCTCGTGGGTGCGGGAGGGCCAGGTGAGCCGGGGGAGGCCGGTGGTGGGAGGCAGTGCCGCCCGGGAGGAGAGCGAGGACCCACGCCGGGCCAGGCCGGGCCCAAATGGCTGGCAGCGGGCATTCCATGCACATGGGTGCACACCAGTGCCCCGCATCAGCCCCAGGCTGCGCTGCAAGCCGGACAGCAGCGTCGTGCCGGGAGGCATGGGCACACCCACCGCAGCTCAACTACACTCCGCCACAGGATCGCGAGTCATGTATTCATTGCAGTGCATCAACCGATATATGTCAGCGGGATAGAGTATCGTGATCCACGCCCGGCATCCTGCTCATGCATGCAGGGGGTGAACTCGAAGTGATCCGTCATGACGTGCCATGCTGCGCACAGGGAACACATCAGGGGCACGAGGTCTGTCTCCCATGGCCCCAGGATCTTGTCAGCTGTACATGTCACCTCTTCAAGCACATGACCATGCAAGTGAGAACGCCCGGCTTCTCCTGCCGGCCTGCATCGTCTGCCTCTATCCTCAGACCCCTGCGATAAAGTGTGGGACTGAGCGCGTGGGCAGCGGTTTGATTTTGATCATGCCGCCCTTGCCTCTGCTTTGTATTCCCTCTGCCCCCCTTCCCACAGCATCTCAGTCATCCACATGGCTTACGTGATGTATGACTGGTTCATGACCTCCCTCAGGAAATGGATGTTCAGGCCCCCATCGCCATCGTCAAAGAGATACTCTAGCACCTTGATCTGGTAATGGTTTGCCCAGCAGAATTTGGACAATACCATGCTTACAAACGCAACATGAGATCGAGCTGGATTACAGCCGATGCTTGTTGCTCATCCAACTCCTATCTTCCCTTCCCCTCCCTCTCCCACCTGTGTATTGGAGAGGGTGGTGCCCAACACATGCTGGGTCACCCACGCTAGGTCTGCACCCGTCACCCTGCCTGCCACAGTCCTCGCAAACTCCAGGGCGATGACGAGCCGCCGCAGCTGCCGCCAGATGTGCTGGAAGGCGAGGAAGTCAGACTTGGTGACCGTCTCTGCTGCCAGGTCGTCTGGCATGTCCTCCACCTAAAGAATGATGCAGTGTGAAACTTCATTGACAGGGTTGGGCAGGGGTCCTGGGGCCAGCAGCTGGGGATCAACAGGGATATCACACAGGCCCTGCAGTGCATGCCCGGCCCTTGGTCCTCTCGAAGCACATCCTCAGCCAACTCATGCAGGGAGGAAATCGAGGCGCACCTTGTCCAGGTACTGGTCCAGGTGCTTGAGCCTTGTGGCCCCAATCACAGAGTATGCAAAGTCCTGAGCGGCCATAACCCCCTGTTCATGCAGGCATGGAAGAAGGTGAGGTTGTGCAGAGCCGATTTATCGAGGTCAGCGACGCCAATGAGCAGCGCTGGCGGGGGAAGTATCAGAAGCTCGCAGGTACAGGCCATGCATTGAACTGCCACGCAGTGCCCTGATGACACTATCCCTTAAACCCCACTACCTTGGAGTCTACGTCGTAAAAGGCAAACTCCATGGCCATCACTTCATCCCTGGTGGGGAGGGCGGCAGGTCTCCAGCAGTGAGCCGGCCGCAGTTGGGTCTGGTCATCCGATTGCAAAGCATGCACATCCCCCTGCTGCCTCATGGCAGGCACGATGAGGGGTGCACACCCAGGACCCAGGCGCGAGATCCCCGGGACCAACTCCCCTCACCGCAGTGAGTTGACAAATTGCGCAAAGCGTGCCAGTGTCAGGCTCCCACCCCGCGCCCCCGTGATGGACTCCATGAGCGCCTCCGCATTCCGCCTGTGCCATGGCAGGTTGGGCCCCTGTGGTGCTAATATTCTTTGTGCGCGATGATGAGCACCAAAGCGGTATACACACACACACATCCTCCCTCTATGCTCTATACATCCATCGCGCTGTGCTGCCGCCACTTCCATGGATACCTGCTGGTGTCACCGACGGGCGGGTTGCCTGTGTGAGGTAGTATCTTGCAGTACCTCTTCCGGAGCGAGACCAGGAGTGCTTCAAGTTCCAGCACCTCGATGGATCCCGAGTGGTTTGCATCCACCATGTGGAAGGCCACTGGAGGGGGGAAGGGGGTGGAGAGGAGGGAGAAGGCTTTCTCAGTCCTCGCTCTGAGTGAGCAGCAAGCTGACGCAGCAAAGACGAGGCAGGCGTGGCTCAGATGCAACCCAGGCGCTGCTCTACCTTGGATGTCCTCTGTGGGAATGGAGAGCAGTGCCAGGAACAGCAGCCACTCCTCATAGTCTATCCTCCCATCCCGGTCCATGTCCAGGGCAAGGAATGCGGACCCCTTGGGGCAGGCCGCTGCCTGTTGGTTAGGACAAGCAGAGGATAGACGGTAACAAAATAAACGAGGCCCAGCCGAGGTATAGTGCCAGCTTGGTGACAGGTAAAGATCTGGATTCACAGCGGTCACTCCAAATGCCTCGCCCTGCTGTCTTCATGCTTCCCCACCTCTTTCATTTCCGGGCTGGGTTCGCCCCACAGGCTGCCGGCCCGGAGCACTGCCGATTTCGATGGGGGAAACACAGGCACAACGCTCCGCATGACATCCTGGGCGGTCATCCAGGCAGCTGGTCCGTGGCGCTGCGAGGGATGGTCAGGCCACTTATATGTGTGAGGACTGGCCGGCACACGATCAGCAGCTGCACCAGGAGTGGCCCTCAGGAACACCCTCCCTACCTGGGAGGCAAAGTATTCGAAGACCTTGTGGGGAGGACTCAGGTCCCTGATCTTCCTCTCGTACCTGAGGGCGGGAAATGTTGAAAAACTCACCTCATCAGCCTGTGCCTGTGGATGCCGTGGATTGTAGTGTGCTTACTCAACCCAACCCCACCCCCACCCTTGGACCCACTTGAAGAACACCTTTCGCCGCTGCTCCAGCGTGAGGAGACTCCATCCCTGCAGGGATGGAAACAGGTCGCTCTGAAACATCACATCATGTTATGGGCGGTCTCAAAGCAATCCGTGGCGAGATGGCGCCGGTGCATCACCTTGTTCTCCTTAGATACTGGTTTGGGAGCCTCGGCTACTGCAGTGCATGTGCCTCCGGCGATGCTGGCCACGGCCGCTGATGCCAGAACCCATCCGTAGCGAGGTGAGTCTCTTGACCGTGAGGTGCCATCAGCTAGCTGGGGCGTCAGTGCAGAGACTTGTTTCAGTAGGTGCCGCAGAAAGTGATCTCTAGGTCGGACCCGAGTTCCCCACATCATGCAGAACGACAGCAGCGCCGGAATTATGGGTCTTTATTCACATGAATGCCGCGTTGCAGCATCGAACGGGATTTCTAGACAGCATTGAGGTTGGTCTTCATATCGGATCATGAAGTGTCTGTCGCGCGCGCTGCGAGCCCACCCAAGCAATCTCATAGGCCCGGAGATGGGCTGCTGAGATCATGCGGGGCTACGAATTCTACTAAATTTCACGCCAGATATTCGGAATATATGGCGATGGGGCTTTTGGAACCAGTCAAAGCACACGTTCTTCCGGACATGTCCTCCCACAGACTTTCGGATGCAGCCGAATAGAGAGGCCTCTCATCCAATGCATGATCAGAAATTATTCCAAAAATCAACTTGTAATGTGCTGTGATGTACCCTGCATCGCCATACAGGTGCCCGGCGCACAAGACCTGGGACTTTGCCTTGGAGAGTGGCTAGCTTTCTCGTCCCGTCACCAACAAACGGAACGAAGCGCCTTCCATGCTTCCGAGTGAAAGTGGCCACTCCAGCTCTGAGACAGACTCAAAGCATCTTCACAATGTGCTATCGGGAACAGATTCGTCTTCTGCACTTCCCACAAGCCCCCACCTCTGGCACAGAGGTGACAGCGATGATGCCAGCCATGCGTTTGAGGAGCTGAAGCATACACATGCCCTCCTGAGCGAGCACGTTGGCAGGATTCAGGTCGCAGAACGGGCCCAGCATGCAGAGACCATACGGGCGCATCAAGACCAGCTCGCTGCTTTGGCTCAGCAGGTCCAGCGCGGGGCCATCCTTTCATCGGGCACCAGGGAGGATGCACAAGCACTGAGGGCTCAGCTCGCCCAGGTACAACTGCCAAGGCATGGGGCCTGGAGGCAGCCCAACTCCTGTGCAGCAAATTGCACTCGGCTGGCCTTAGTGATTGAAGCCCTCATCCTCCTCACTTTCCATCAGGTCCAAGCCACCTACAGCAGCATCAGGGATGAGAAGGCAGCCGCACAGCAATCCCTGGACCGGTGGAGGCAGGAGCAGGTTACCGCAGAATCAGCCAGGAGAGAATGCTGGGCTCAGCTCTGCGGAGCGCAGTCCCTGCTGGAGGCTGCGGATGCGGAAGCCCGGACTTGCAAAGAGACCATGTGTGTGGTGCGGTGGCTGTGTCAGAATGCGCAAGAATATCCTTGGGGTGGGGAGGAAATCAAGGTCAGCCTGCCCAGCGCAGGTCCTGCACTGTCGAGTTCCAGGAGTTTGACAGACGAAGCCTCAACCCCGATCTCCTCTCCACCACTGCTCCAGGCATGCGCTGCAGCACAGAGCTGCTGCTGTGCAGGAGCAGCTGCTGGACGTACGCTCAGAAGGCAGAAATCGGGGCGCGGACCTGCTGCAGGCTGCGCAGGGAGAGGCAGGGCTTCGCGCCCAGCTGGCTGAGGCGGGGGCGGCAGGTGATAAAATCCGATCGTCCCCGGTCACAGCGTGGCAGCTGCGAGGGGCCACCGCGGAGGGTCGGACGCTCAATGGTAAGCTGGAGATGCAGCGGGTCAGGGAGCTGACCTGCCTGCGCCGCCACCGTGCAGTGAAGGGCGAGCAGGGCAGGATCCAGGTGAACATGGGGCCGGGCAGAGGGATTTGCGCTGAGTTGGGTTTCTCAACATTGTCGTGCCGTGGAGGACAGTGAGTCGAAGACCCTACATAGCGCACTGAGCATGAAGAGGTTCCTACGGCGGGAGTGTTGTCGCTCGATGTTCAACACTTGGCATCATGGTCCTTGCCAACATTCCCCCAGGCAGGGCTGAAGAGTCTGGGCCAGCAAAGGGTAGCTGCACTGGCCGCGCTGCATTTGATCTGCGGCGCGAGGCGCACAGGTCGCGCCGGGCGTCAGGCGCTCGAGGATGCTGCCACCATCCATCGGCTCGCAGCGGAGACACAGGCCGCCTGGGCAGAGGTGAGTCTCGAGCACCCTGTGGCGCACTGCTGAAGCCATTGGTCAGGGCATTTTGCGAAGGTTTTTAGGCCTGGGCTGCCTCAAGGATGGTTGGTGGACGCTCCTTCATATGTTCATCTGTGAAGAGGGTGCTGGAGCCACTCGTCTCATCACACAACTCAAACACAGGCACACCGTCTGGCAAAGCTCGGCTCCCACAGGCACTGTCAGGGTCTGGGTTCCGAATGGGACACCCTATCGGTGATGGGCGCAGGTCTGGCGGCTGGCACCGCCGCTCTACGTCTGCTGGGTGGGTCTGGGAAGCAGTATGTGCTGACTGGGCGTCGAACAGAGGCTCAAAGAGTGGGGATGCTCACATCTCTCAACAAAGAGCCTCGCCGAAACAGCGCTTCCACGGAAACACCCGCAGAGAACAAGCGGAATGAGATGGTGTGCCGCCGCGATGCTGTCATGGCGCACGCTGCCTCCCTCTCCACGCTGGGTGCAGCTGCCACAGCGCAGAGGGAGGCCTTGCGGGTGCAGCTGGCACAGGCATGTGGGCTCTGAGAGCAGGGGTGTGCTGGTGCTGCGCTGCCACACAAACAGGCACCTCTAGCTCACCCGCGGCGCATCTTACCGTCCCTCATGCCAGCTCAGGTGAGGGCCTGGAGAGACATGGTGTTGCGCAACGCAGAGGAGACTGGGTCAGCCAGCCAGGCGCTGCTGGAAAGGATCCAGGTGTGTGCGGCTGGGATGCCAGGTGGCGCCCCACCGTCGGGTCTGGAGCCTGCCGAGGAACGGCACGTGCTACAGCACGGAGCAGTGCTACCTTGCATGCAACGAAAGGGATCGGTTTTCATATCCCCATCGCCATGGCCGGCCACCCACGCGCCGTCCATGCACAGGACAGCTGCCAGGCTGCCCTGCGCATGGGCGAACAGCTTGGCAACAAGCGCCAGGCCCTGAATGAGGCAGAGGCTCGGGGTGCACAGACGCACGCTGAGGCACGGCGGGTCCAGGCCGACATCCTGGCGGCTGCGGCGGCTGGGGATGCCGCGGTGCATGAGACGCTGACAGTGCACAAGGCACTCCAGGCGCAGCAGGTGCGATGCCACCCTCGGTGCAGGGGTGCGGATGCGGCTGGGTTGGCTGAAGGACGGTGGCATCTATGTGCCCAACCCCTTGACACTGTTGCACACGAACGCCTGAGGTCAGCCAGGCCCTGCGTCGTCGTGCACTGTGCTCACATCCTGCGACTTTGTCCCCACCCCAAATACTCACCGCAGGACGCGCTTGACATGGTCCTTACTCAGCTTCACGCGGCATCGCAGCGTGCAGACCGCGAGGATGCGAGGACAGCAGCCCTGCGGACCCGACTGCAGGCGCAGGGTGCGTGGCAGAGCCAGTGGGATGCCGGCATTCGAAGCGGCGCTGAGGCGGCAGAGTCGGCCGAGAAGTGGCTCCGGCATCTGGAAACCATCGTGCTGCATGGTGCGCTGCGATCACAAATTGGCCAAGTGGGGGCAAAAGGCAACAATGGAGGCAGGACTCTGCTGTGTCAGAGAGAGGACACCTGGGGCCTTGCTCTCAATCCAGAGCACATCACATTGGGCATTCACGTCCGGGATTTGAAATCTAGTCCTGTACCCTCATTCAGGACTGGCAAGGCTTCAGCGCTTGGAACGCCACCTTGCTGCGCTGCGGTGCCTGGGAGGAAACCATGAGAGAGGCTTGGAGGTTGAGCGTGGGAAGCTCAGCCGGGCCTCGCGGGATCTGGACGAGGTGGGGTCCTTGACTCCTGTCGAGCTGCAGAATGGCGGCCCGCTGGCAGGGGTGGTGGTGGGTTTGGCCCGGGTGCATGCAGGTGGATCACTGTCAGGCTAAGCTGAAGTCTGAGTCCCTGTGGATTTTGGGACAGGCCCTAGGGCAGCACAGGACCGCTGCATGCCAAGGCCTTCAGGAACGCCCATGGAAGCTACTGTCCGTGCAGGGGTGAGGGGGTCTGCGACGAGGGACGGATCGGCGGTGCCAGAAAGTATGCTTCTGTCACGGGCATCGCGTGTAGCCTGTTGAAACGTGCTCACCGCGCCGTGCAGAGTGCGCTCCGTTGGGGGATCTTCGGCGCCTGCACCAGATCTCGAGCGGCAGGCGGCGGACTTGGAGGCACGGCTGACTGGTGCTGAGGTGGCGGGCAGCAGAGTGAGTCGGGTTGCCGTGGTTACAAGTTGAATGCACTGCCATCCCACTGCAACCCAGGCCAAGAGTGCCCAGCAAGCGCAGCGTGCTGCACTCCCTTGCAAGTCGCGCCGGAGGCAGCTGGTCCCGAGTCTTTGCTCATTCCTCAAATGCCATCCCTTCTTCAGCTGACGGCACGGCTGGAGGATGTGTCGGCCAAGGTCAAGGCACTGGAGGCCTACCAGGGAGCTCGGTCAGGGCAGCAGGTGAGGAGGCAATGTCCCTGATCATGTCAAACCGCTTCCACTGTCACCTGCTGTGGCTTCCCTGAGAATTCGTACTGAGTTCCCCCAGCAAGTCAGCTTCTCTCCTCTGCTGCCGTGACAGTGTAAAGCGGCGCGCGAGCCGCGAATCGATCTGGATGCCCAGCTGAGGACTGCCAAGTCAAGCCTGGTCCAGGCTCAGGTGGCAAGAGGTGGCTTGTTGCCATGGCTGCTGGTCTTGGACGTTGCAAGGGTGTCTTGGACCGAAAGGCGTATGTGCTTTGGCTACTCCTGTGAGCACGGGTGCCGTCCTGCCCAGGCTCACACGTTCTGTGCACTCAGCAACGGCCTCTTGTATCACGCAGCTTAAAGCATCGCAGCTTGCCCAGGACATCGACCTGCTGCGGGAGGCACTGAGTGCGGCCCTGTCAGTGCAAGCACGCCCTGAATTGCCCTCGGCATCTTCATGCACACCTGTGCCCACAAGGCCAACCGATGAGAAGGTGCGCACTGAGGGTGCTTATGGTAATCTACGGAGTGTTCTTGGGTACATCGGTGGGGTTGCCTGGTCAAGGATGCTTGTAAAGCTTGCTGCCTCCATCGGCCTTGCCCAGCTGTGGCGTCCTCATCAACCAGTGCTGGGGCCTGATTAGGTTGGGGACGCTGGCCTCCACCATCAACCCATCGAGTGTTTTTCATGTTCAAATCATTGCAGGTGCAGGTGTCTCCGGAGCTTAAACGGCCGGGCAACATCCTGGATATGACTGGGCTCCCCCACTCGGGATCTGAAGGGAGCGGCGCTGGCCTGGCTGTCTGCATGCCCACACTCCGTGCAACCCTTGTGCCGTATGGTATTCGTTCGAGGACTCGGAAGTCATGATCCTCTTGCTTGCTGTACAGCCGTTTTGGTGTGACAGAGCAGCGTCAAGGGGCACTGTGCAGGCCTGCCCCTGCGTCAGGGCAAGGGACCAGTCGGTAGACTGTGCCCGCGCTTTCTTCCCAGGTCAACGCAGATTGCAAACTCTCGATCGGCCAGACCGCGGTCACGCAGTCTTCGATTAACATTGAGCTGTGGAACTTGCTTGGTAGAAGCACCTCGGGACCTGCGTGTGGGCGTCGGATCGTGGGAGGCTCAGGAGCTCGTGGCCCCGGGAGTCCGCCATGTCGACCTACGTCGGCAACAAGTTTGGCCAGCCGGACACTGACAAGCTGGTGAGGGTGTGCCTGATGGGCAGTGCAGCATTATAATATGATTTCAGGAGCAGAGACGGGCCTTCTGTCTCCCTGCCGCAGAAAGAGTTTGAAAAGCGGACGGACCCCAACGACAAGAATGCTCAGGCCCTACTGGAGGAGATGCGGCAGCACATCAAGAAGGTGAGCCGCCTCCCACACCCAGGGCCCTCTGTCTAGCAGATCTGCCGTGTTTCCATTGGAGAGCTGCCCATCTCAGCTGACCCCACAACCCCACCTCATGCTGCAGTTGGAGGACATGAGGAAGAACGAGGACCCCAGGCTGTCCTTCTCCACGCCGGAGTTCAAGGAGGCACAGCGGATTTTCACGGACGGCTTCAAGGTGAGAACGCCAGCTCGTGTTGGGAGGTGTCTGAAGCGAAGCAGTGCTGGGGGCCTGGCGAGTCGCTGCCAGCCTCTCGTGTCGTGGAGCGCTCCCTGTCAATTGGTTGTCTTTAGCATACATCTCAACACAGCAGCACAATAGAATTCTCCTGACACCCTCCCACTCCCCCTTCTGCCCTCCTCACACACCGTCCATCCTCCCATATTCTTCAGAAAAACTTTGGCAAACCAGTGGAGTGGGCCCTTGTCAAGGATTATGCCTGGTCCACGCCCCAGCTCCGCAAGCTGGACAAACCTGTGAGATGGAATCTGGTCTGACATGGCCTGACATGGCAGCCTTGTCCCGTGCAATGCAGCACTAGCCTGCAGAGGACCTGCCCTCCATCCCTCCAACCGTACTGCCAACCACCCATGCCCACCTTTCTACGCAGGTGGATGTCGACGGCAATCCCTGGCCACTGGACCCCAGCGGCAACCCCATCCTGAAGTAGGCTTGACCCGGTCCAGGGCCGTATGGGAGGCGGTGCTGATGATTGGTGGCTCCAGTCGGTCTTGTTGGCCGGCTTGTCACCCGACCCCCACGGCGGCCAGGCACAAGGGTCTGGCCTAGGGCGGGAGTCGGCATCACCATGTCTTGCCCAACACTGCCCCCGTGTCGTGGTTCAGTCTTGTACAGGATGTATTGATTCGACCATACAAAGGAAACATACCAGGGACAAGCAAAGGGCATGTTTGCAGCTGGAGTAATCGCCCAGAAGCATGTGCATGTGTCACAGCCCTCACGACGCTGAGTCCAAGCCCTCAACTACGACTTTACCTGCAGAGGTCAGAATGCGACCCTGCTCGCCATGCACAGTGGCAAGCCACCGCAGACAGCAAACCAGCCCCCCTTTGGTCCTGCCTGCCTCCTCAGGGTGCAGCACTATCTACAGACAGGTCTCCTCGTCTGACACAGGGGGCTGCATTCTTCGAGAGAGACAGATTCCACTGGGATTCTTGTTGCATGGTGTGGTGATATTATAGATGTGCAGGGTGCCGTGGCTCTGTTCTGGAACCGTGCAGCGCACGGTGCCGAGGGCCAGAAGCGCTAGAATGGTGAACCAGTGGACCTAGTGAGGTTGCTTAAGGGCCTGCAACCCTGGGTGACATTTGCACTCAATGGTCGGGTCAAAAAAAGAAAGGGATGGGGGCGCTCTCCCAGGTGGAAGGCTCACCCAAAATTGCCCGCCTGCGCGCCCCGATGGACAGACCCAGATGAGGGGTGTCCAGTGGAACTGCAGAGGGCTGTGCTTGGAGAAAGGATGAGGTGAAAAACCCGTCATGGGACAGGTCAAGGGATGGCAGAGTTAACAAGGAGGGGAGAGATCCCTTTTAATTAAATGGGTGCATGCTTGTGCAGCAGAAAATACCGCCGCCACCTCCTACGTGTCTGCGCTGATCCATGGGAGAGAGGGTCTCCAGGGTCAGGCAAGCAGGCTAGGTGGGGGCAAAAGAATGGCTTCTTTCTCTCAGTGATTCCGGCGTGATCATGACTGGGGCGGGGAGGCAGCAACAGCGCTGGCAGCGGCGGCGGCGGGGTACGAGGTGGTTGTCCCTTGACCTTCAGGGCCCGCAGCCGGTACAGACTCCTCCAGGGTTAGGTGTTCGAGGTCCAGGTCGGTGCGTTTCACAAATCTCCCCTTCACACGCTGGAGGGGGCAAGAGTGGGGAAGGTTGAGTCGTCTTGCCTTGGTCACAGCAGCATCGACTCTCGCGAGCGTGCCTGTGCGTTTCGCGCAGGCCGCCCTCACACAGGCCCACGCTTAAGCCCCGACTGGACGGACATGCAGCAGGCCACCGCACATGTTGCATCCATCCACTCCTCACCAGTCTTTTATCCGCATTGGCACGGCGAGCGTCGTGGCGGGCCCTGCGGCCGGCAGGGGCCGCTCTGGCACGAGATCTTCCGGATCCCTTGTTGGATTTGTTCGAGTTCTTTGCCATGATGGGTTTGATTTTCCCTGGAGGATGGGGGAGGCCGTGAGTATGGTTGAAACAATGAAACCGTAGATTGTCATGGACAGACAAGTGGCCTACTCTGCGCCCTGTTTACTCCTGGAGGGAAGCCTCGATTGGTCTGGCACAGAACCAAGACCACTGTATGCAAGGATCTGACACATTCTCATGTCCAACCCACAAAAAGCACCTGCCATGCTGAGGTGAGAGCAGCCGCCGTCACTGTGAGAGAAGCTTGTGTTCCTGACGGACAACTGGGACAGGAGTGGCAGGTCCATGCCAGGGGGCGCCGAGGCAGAGGAGGAGAGCACATCGCAGCGGATGCTGCCGATCCCCGACGCCTGCCACATCCTGCGATGGCCAGTAAGTTGAATTGTACGTTGGACTGCTGCCTTGCCGTCTGCTCCCCGGAGCAAGCTGTAATCCTTGATGGAGTGTAATAATTCTCTCAACAGACACGATTCAAGCTCGGATCACTGCAGGCTCCCATCCGCACCCCAGGTCCTACATCAAGCCCTGCAGACAGTCAAACCCCACCTCAGGACTTGATCCTTGTCGAGTTGTAGTCCCAGAGGGCTCACAGGGACCTGGGCATCACTGCAGGTTGACTGCAATGCAGAATCGTGAGGTGCACGAAGGTCAGACGGAGCAGTGATGTTACCCAGACACAGCGCTGTTGCTCAGACACGGCGCAGCAACGCAGGCCCTGACACTCAATTGCAGATGATCAAAGGCGAAGCAATCGTTTGTAATCTTACCTTGTCAAAGTGAGATGCAAATTTGCGCAGTTCGGCTTCCAGAGAGAAAATCCTGTAGACACCGAGAAACGAGGGGAACGAAGCAGCTTCATGAGCGATAGGACCCGACACATCGCACGACAGCAATCTCTCGGCAGGGCCAGCGTGTGTGAGTGTGCATACCTGTGCTCCAGTCCTTTTGCTGAGGATGTGGGTTCTTCAGGTGTCAGCTGGCTCTGCGGGGTGGGGGCGGGGGCGGGGGGGGGGGGGGGGAGGCGGCGGTGAGCGATCCAAGCCGACACCTGGAACCCCGGGCATACCTCGTAGCAATCACCTCGCGCACCCCTCCCCTTTGTTTACCTCTGGCTCCACATCGAGCACGGTGGGTGCGCTGCTGGATAAAGCGAGCCCGTCGGCGTCGGAGGACAGGCCTCCCATATCTGCATGGGAGATACGGGTTGGGATGTGAGACGTGACGCCCGACCGCCACTCGACAGATTCTCGACGCACAGGAGCGCTCCTGCACGCGTCACATTGGCCTCCAGACCTTCCATTATACTCTCATGAGGCCATCTCACCGTCGAAGAAGAGCCAATCATCGCTCTGCTCATCGAAGGGCGTCGTCGCTTCATGGCGACCGACGCCAGCGGGATGCATCGCTTGGCCCGAGCGGGAACAGGTTGGTCCAGCAAAGCAACCGGGATGCACTTCGAGGCAGGCCATCGACAAAACTGGTTGTGTGAGACCTGGTCCGAGACCCGCATGGGCTCGCCTAGACGTGGTGGGGTCGTGTGGTGCATGTATGGCAAATTTCATTTGTCCCCGGACGGGGTGCCGCACCGCTGGCAACCCACGGGTGCTGGGGCGCAACACCCCTCAGCACGCAGTCCCCTCCCCCGATCCCCGATCCTCTGGACCTCCTCACAAGCCTGGCCGATAGCCGGAGTTGGGAGAGTCTCGTGTACGGTACAAAGGGATCACCATGGCGGCTCGTTTGTTTGAAATCACGGAGGAAGACTCCTTCCTGGTGGTCGCGACGTACCTCGGCGAGCTGCTCGATGGTGGCGAGGTGCGCGACCGTGCCGGTCCGAGGGTGCACATCCAAACGATCTCCCGACGCTGCCGGGACCCAGGATTGGTATGCAATCCGTGTCCTCGCTCCTTACACCTCCGCAGGCGCCCGCAGGGGAGCAGGCAGAGACCCCAGGCTCTCGCTTTGCAACGGAGAGCAGGGAGCTGTACACCAGCGACCGCACGGCGGAGCTGCTGGACAAGTACGTATCTCAGCTAGACACCGTGTTTGCCAGCGCTGGGGAGGACACAGGTGCGGGTGGTGTGAAGTGGGGGTGGGGGAGCTCGTCGACTGTGGGGCATGCACAACCTGCCCCTGCTCCCGCGCACCACTGGCGACTGTCCCACCCCTGGCACTTCTCCCCTCCCTCCACAAGGCAATCTCGAGAGCGTGCTGGACATCCTGTGCCACCTGGTCCCACGCACCGCCCTGTCCAGCCCCCAGCAAGTCCTGCCCGCAGCCACCAAGCTGGCCGCCGCCCTCGCAGCAGACGTGCGTGGGCGGGAGGATGGACGTGGGGCCAGAGGGCGGCGAGGGTGATGCACCCCATACCTGCACCGCTGCCTCTAACCCCGGGCCCCTGTGCTGACCCATTTCTCCTTCCTTCCCTCCCCATTCAAACGTACGCAGGGTGGCAGCCACGTGCAGGTACGACTGCAGGCCCTGACCACGCTGTACAACGTGCTGGAGTCGGGCGAGGCGCGGCACGCCGTCCTGCTGCGCACGCTGGGCTTCGCGCGCGCCACAGGCTCCGCTGACGTGCTGCTGCCGGTGATCCGCGCCTCGGCCGCCACCTGGGCCCGCGACCTCGGTCTGGACCGGGTGAGGGAGCGGGAGCTGCTGTCAGCCGCGGCCGATGCGCTGGAAGGCCCCTCCTCCACGCCGCGGGAAAGCGCGGCGGAGGTGCAGCGCCTGCTGGCCCGCATCCTGGCCAGCTACGAGGGCGTGGCCGGCAAGGAGCTGGCGGGGGGTAGACCTGTTGCCGCGCGCGTCGTCGCCGACTTCCTGCGCTCCGGCGAGGCCTTCACCTTTGACCTGCTGGGCAACCCGGCGGTGGCCTCGCTGGCCGCCGCCTCCGACACCGCCCCCCTCCACTTCCTGCTCAAGACCATGCTGGTGGGCGGCGTTCGTGACTTCCGTGCCACGCTGGCCGAGTACCCGGACCTCCTGCCCTCCCTGGGCATCGCGCCGGAGGCCGCGCTGGCTAAGATGCAGGTCATGGCCCTTGCGGGGCTGGCCCACGTCAACCCCGTCCTCACCTTTGAGCAAATACAGGTGGGTCCTGTGTGTTTTCTTTTTGTGTGTGGGTGGGGAGAGGGGGCTGGGGGTGGAGGAAGAGGAGGCTGGGGGTGGAGGAAGAGGAGGCTGGGGGTGGAGGAAGAGGAAGCTGGGGCGGAAGGAGAGGCTGGAGGGGATGCAAAAGCCCCAGCGGTTGTGTGCTGTATGCAGGGGACCCCACCAGTTCCCCCCGAAGAGCGTCCACCCACCCACCCACCCACCACCACCTGCCTTTCCCCCTGAAACCCCATCCCCCATCTCAAAAAACAGGACGCTCTGGAGATCCGGGCAGAGGAGGTTGAACCCTTGCTGGTCAGGGCCATCGGCAAGAAGCTGCTGGAGGCGCGCATCGACCAGCTGGCCCACACCGTGTCGGTGTCCAAGTCTGCTCCGCGCGCCTTTGGCGACGGCGACTGGAAGGCGCTGCAGGCCACCCTGCGTGTCTGGCAGGTGCGGCCTTGGCCGACGAGGTTGGAAAGGAGGGGATGTGGGGTGGGGAGTGGAGACCGGGGTCTTCTCGCCAGCACACCCATGCGCCAAGCGCACTACGTGATTGACAGCCGAGGGTTTGGGAGACCTGCCTCTGGACCGGCGCACTCGGACAGGGTGCCAACCTCTCCACCACCTCGTATTCACAGGGCGCGCTGGAGCGGGCGGAGCAGATTGCAGAGGACCGAAAGGGCCTGCTGCAGCAGGGCCTGACCGCCATCAAGGCCTGAGCGGTGGGCTTTGATTGGGTGCTGCCCAACTTCACGCCCCTCCCCCCCCCCCCCCCCCCCCCCCCCCCCCCTTGCATGCTAGGGTGACGGGGACAGCAACCTGTCGAGCATGTATCAATTCGAAAAGAGGGTGCCAGGGGGCAGCAGCAGCAGTGGGTTTTCAGTGTGATACAGGCAGCGTCACGGGAGGAGGGTCAGGGGAAGAGGCGCTGTGGTCTTGAGAGCTGCCTGACCCCTGGCACAGCGCACAGGGAGGACGCGGGCTTAGGGCAGCCTTGGGGTACCGCCATGCAGTCACCCTCGCTGTTCCCGGGTGCCTCGCAGAGCATTCGACGCAGTGAGCCGCCTCGCCCTCCCCCCTGGCCGCCAGCGTCACACCACCCCATCAAGTCATGTACTTGTCGGCCTGCGCGCTGAGCTGGCGCGCCGAGGCCTTGGCATCCTGGAAGAGCGCGTGCGCCTCCTCCAGGTCCCCCCGCGCCGCTTCCCCCCGCCCCGCGCTCCGCGCTAGCACCGCGCCCGGCGTCAGCAGCTGGGCCGCGTGGCGCAGGCTGGTCTCCTCCGCCACCTCGGCCAGGAAGGCCAGCGCGTCCTCGCCCAGCGCCACACCCTCCACCTGAGCGCGGATGGCCAGGATCTGGATGCTCTCCTCCGGCGTGTAGGTCTGGGTCCGGACGATGACCAGCCGGTCCAGGAGGTCCACGGGGACGCCGTGGGGTGCGGAGACGTCGGTGCCACGCACCGCACACATGCCGCGGTTGGTGGCCAGCACCACGATGGGGGCCAGGCTGGACTCCAGCGCGCGGTTGAGGTAGGTGAAGCACTCTATGTCCAGCATGTGCACCTTTGCAATTGAGGGGGGTGGGGGGTGGGAAGGAGGGAACAAGGTGAGGGTCCGTGTTGCTGAGGGAATCGTGAAGAGCGCCGGCTGGGACGGCAGGCGGACCTGGCTGTCGAAAGGCGCCCGGTCCCCCCGTGCCTGCCCCTGCCGCATGCATCATCCCCCCCTCCCCCCAACCTCCCCACCCACAACAGCAACTCACCTCATCGACGAAGAGGACCCCTGGAACCAGCTCGGCGGTGCCCTCGTCTATATACTTGTTCACCACGCGGTTCACCTCCTGGCGCAGCTTGTCCGTGATCTCCGTCTTCTTGGGCTTCAGCAGCTGGCCCATGAGGGACATGATGTCCTGCCCGCCCTGGGGCTTGGCGTTGGCGGCGTCCAGGTCGTGCAGCGTAACATCCTGGACCAGGTCCTTCTTCTTGTGCACATCGCCCTTTGGGAGGGGGACGTAGACCTCTGCCTCCAAATCAAACTCGGTGGCATAGGCGTCGCTCCTGGCAGAGATGGAGAGGCGGGTGAGCATCGGGAAAGGACAGGGGCGGACCCGGCATCGGGCAACAGGGAGGCGGGGGAGGAGGAACTCCTTCCACAGCGAGTGCATGCAGGGAGGGCTCTTGGCCCTGGAAGGTGCATTCCCATCCCATCGGTGCAAGAAGCCCCAACCACGTCGACACCTCACCGGCCGACGCGCTTCACGGATCCGCTGTTGGCCTCGATGTAGATGACGTCGCCGGGGGAGACGCGCTCCTTTTGCAGGGCGTCGTGGATGGTGGGGTCCAGCTTCAGCTGCTTGGTCCCCTTCACTGTCTTCAGCCCGATGATGACGTGGCTGATCACCTTGCCATAGCCCCCGCCCTGGTTCTCGGTCTCAACAGGGGTCATCTCAGTCACCTCCCCCTCGTACACCTCTTTCCGCTCCTTTATCCTCAGTCCTAGAGAATTGTTGGAGGGGTTAAGTAGTAGAATGAGCAAAGCTGGAACACTGATCGTATACTAAGGACTCTGATCTCAGTGAGGCTCCCTTTCCCATCAAGTAGGTGTGTACTTCCCACCAAGAACCAGCCCAGCGTGTCTCACCGATGGCTCTCCTGAAGTGTTCCATGAGCACTTCGGTCTTCTTGACCTCGGCGGAGTACACCTCTGAGCCTACCATGGGACAGAAGGGCACCTTGGTCCCGAGTTCCTGGGCGATGCCCAGTGCCAGTGCCGTCTTGCCAGTGCCCGGGGCTCCCGTCAGCAGCAGAGCGCGCCCCGCCATCTTCCTCTGTTTAATCATCTCGACCACCAGCCCGCATGCCTCTCGGGCCTGCTCCTGTCCCACGAAGCCGGAGCCCAGGGGGAGCGCATCGCCGGCAGGGGTGAGGCCCAGGCCCTTGATGTGGGTATGGGGGCTCACGCGCGATGACTTGGCGGTGGATGCAACTTCCTCAATCCTCATCGTGAACAACGTGTGGGCATCGGGCAAATGCATGCACAATGGCTGTCCCCTGGACTCTTGTCGTTCCCAGAGAGATTCATAGCTTTCCGACGATGGTACGGCTTCGGTACCGAGTTGACCAAATCACCCCATGGGCATACATGTGGATTCCTTGTCTGCAGTAGTGACAATTGTCTATCGAGGAGGTAACATGGCGATGATGAGCACCATTCTCTGTGGCAGTCTTCGAGGTGATGCATCTTTGGTTTGTTCATGACAGAGAAGGGCACTGGCAGCTTTCTCAATGTATGTGTGCATGGACTGCTGCCACTGAGCTCCTCATCGGTGAATTAAATTGAAAACAACAGCGTCGTCTTATCCAACCATCTGGGCCTTGGCGAACTCCTGGAATTTGCCCATGGAGAATGTCAGTCCCTCATGTCACTGGTGTTGGCGGTGCTGTCCACGCACTCAACCTGTCCTAAGACGGGTGTCTTTACCCACTTGCGCCAGCAGTAATGCACCAATATTACAAACTTGTAGCAAGTTGCGACGAACAGGCGGGGGGAGTCCATCAGTAGAGCGGGGCTAACTTACAGGAGAGAACCCTAGCAAAGAAAGGCCGGAGCATCCGTCGCGTTCAGCGCATTAGGTGCAACAAGCCTGCATTGTAGAGGCAACCGCAATGCCTGAAACCCTTGCAAGTGATGATTATCGGTGATTTGCCGGTGCTCCGCTCCCTCCGCTGCCAGCTTGATCACCTCGGACCCCGTGCCGGCAGCGCTGCGATTCCAAGGGGGGGACCTGGAGCTAGCATTCTTGGCTGATTGGGCATACGACCCTCAACACATGTCTTTCATACTGTGAAGTATGTGATCTGGGATGTGACGCTAGCTCTCTTGCCGTGTTCAGGGCGTGGCATCTCTGCGCCGGGTCCTTTGACCATGCAGTCGAGGCACTTGGTCGCACCCACACCCAGTTCCCACCCTGCACAGATCTTGCCACAATGGCCTCCGTGCGACGATACATATGACCCATTTCGCAGCTTGTTCTGGGAAGTAGCCATCCTTTGCTCCTGGAGGCGGGCCTTCGGTGCATGGCATGACCAGTCCGGTGGAGCTCGAGAAGTACCGACAAATGGTGATGACCCAGCTGGGCCATGCCTTTCTTATGCACCAGCAGTCCATGCTGCCGGCAAACTCTCCTTCCCACAGCTCCCTGCGAGTCGCTCAGATTCCAGAAGGCAGCGCGAGGGAGAATTTAGCTGGAGGACTCGACACCGGACTCCGGCCCGGTCGAGGTATGACCCTGTGCGCTAGCTGACACCGTGGCAATGGGTGTAGTGAGGAAAGAACCTAGTGGGAGGCGCTCCACACAGGTGACCAGCCAGGAAGGCAGAGGCCGTTTGATGGGCTCCTATGAATCAACCTTCGCCTGGGTCCTCCCACCTCCCACAGGCGATGACGAGCCCGCGAGCAGGAAGAGGAAGCCCACGGCGTCCCAGGGCCGCACGCCGCCGCGCAAGAAGCAGGACGGTTTTTGGACGGCTGCCATGAGGTTCATGGCCTCACAGGGTGAGGAGCTGGCCACCCCTGCCGTGCCGCCCTCCCAGCATGCGCCAGCCCACCAGTCAGGTAGGCTGGTTGGGCATGCGAGGGAGGGCTTGGGCCCCTGGTAGTGAGCATGGCTGTGGCAAAGACAACCACCTGCCTGCATGCCTGTGCCCTGGGACTGCCTGCGGCCACCCAATGCCAGGCCCTTTCGCTCCGCAGCTTCGGCGCGAGTGGCAGAGGAGCATTCTGCTCGCCTGACTGCGGGACTGCAGGTCACCGGGCTGGCAGACGGCGGCGGCTCTAGCATGTCTGGCATGTGCGACGCTGGGGTGCCGGGGGTGTTGGACCCTGTGAGTGCGGGGGACAGGCCGAGGAGCGACTCCTCCGGCTGCACGCCAGGCCCTCCCTCTTTCCAGCATGGGCCAGTGCAGCATCGAGCAGTCCCTGCGCTGCCCTTTCCCTCCATGGACCCGGCACTCCTGGAGATGGTGGGTGGGCAGCGACTGCGAGGGGCGGGGCACAGAGGGTGTAGTGCAGGGTGCGCTATCGCGTGCGCTCGCAGGTGACAATCCTTGCAGGATGCTGTGCGTGGCGCAGCGGGATCCAATGACAAAAAATGTGCGACATCCTCTCTGCAGGCCCGGCAGGCCATGGTGGCGACCGCCGTGCCCTTTCCCCCCGACTATGAGCCTCAGGTGAGGCGTGTGGGTGCACAGCCTCAAGGAGGGTTGATTGCTTTCGCCTTCAAAATACGTGGTTGACTACCTGATGCTGCAGTGCGGTCTGGGTGCATGGCGCCGATGCATTGCCCACTCCATGCAGCGATTCAAATACCTGGTGTCAAATCTTGCCGGGATTCTCTCCTGCCCTGCCCTCCCGCACCACCTCGTCCACCATCGTCCCTGTAACCCTCCTGTTTGAGCTGGAATCACCAAGGTATTCCCTCATCGCCCAACCTTTCACCCTTTCCAGCTGCCCAAACTGCTGCCGGAGGCCACCTTCGACCTCGTGGCCTCCCCCCCCAGCGCCGGCCCAGCCCACAGCTCCGGCAGCGCCGCGGGCGCCCAGGCCGGGACCCGGCCCCTGCACCTCAAGTTCCGGAGCGGCACCGCCGGTGCTGGTGCTGCCGGCGACGCCGCGGGCCCCGTGCTGACGCCCACCGCTCCCGGGCTGGGGCGCAGCGCCGGCCCCGCCGCCGGCGGCACGCCCGACGCGGTCCCCTCCCTGGAGCTGACGGGCGCCGAACTGGCCAGGCTGCTGGCGACGCCGCAGCGACCTCTGGCCCTGGGTCTGGGACCACTGACCCCCTTTTCGGCCTTCCTCATGGACCAGGCGGCAGGGGTAGGGGGGTCCACCGCCGACGCCGGCACTGCAGCAGGGGGGACGTCCACTGGGGCGACAGTCGGGGCCGCGGCGGTGACGCCGCAGGCGGTGGCAGGCCTCGGGCCTCTGCCCGCCCCTGCCGACAGCCCCATGCAGATGGCGTACCTGGACGGTCTGCTGCTGGACCTGAACTTTGGCGAGGACGCGGGCCTGACCGCCCCCGGCGCGCCGGAGCAGGGCGCGTTTGCACTGCCCGCGCAGACCCCGGCGGGAGGGAAGGCGGTGCTGCATCACCTGCAGAGCCCCGCTGTAGAGGGCCTCACCCAGCCCCCCGCAGGGCTACATTGCCAGGCCTCGCCAGGACTGCCAGGTCTCATGTCCCCCAGCCTCCTGGCGGCGGCCCTGCCAGAGGACTTTTAGTTCTCCGTGGAGATGGAGTTTCGTCATGCATCGTCAGTCCCTGCCTGCAAAGGACATGGGAGGAATCCAGCAATATCATGCGGGGATCTGTTCCCCCTCCTTTCCCCCCCCCGGCAACCCAAACTCACATACACGCAATCGCACACTTCCTGTTGTACATGCTATTACACAGATGGAAAACAGTGACCATGCGCAGAACAGGCAGTGTTGAGGCAGTGAGACGGCACGCGGGGGAATGCGCGCGCGTGAAGCTTGCCATTCTGGCATCATCATTCTGTACGGAAAACGAGCATTCGCGACGGGGGGAAGCGGCCATGGGGACACAGATTCCCTCATGGAGGAGACCGATCACAGTCCGAGCTGACCCTTCGCTGCATGAACCCCCCTTGCATAGCCCAGGCGCAGGGGACTATGCGCCCGTGCCGCCGTTGGCCTCGCCTGACTGGGGCAGCCACCCCGCCGCTTCGGCCTCCCCCTTCAGCTCCTCGAAGACTGGGACGGCCAGTGGGAAGTCCAGGACTATGTCGTCGAGGTTCTCCTCGACCCGGGAGAACCCGGCCTTCAGTTGCGTCTGCATTGTGTTATAATGAGCGGAGAAGGGGGTGCTGGGGACAGGCTTGAGGCTCTAGTCCGGCGGAATGCTCGACGCAGTGGGACTGCAACCTCACTCACGAGGCCCGCCTGGTATCCTTCCCAGCCACGCCTCCCACGCACCTCGGTGACCAGACCAGAGGCTGCGAGTGAGGCCAGCAGGTCCAGGATGGGCCGCACCTGCTCCCTATGAGCACAGGCGGCTAGCAGGCTCCTGCGCGGTGGTGCAGGAATGGAGGCTTGCGCATCGCCGCGGCAGGGTCTTGGTCATGTGCATCTCCCCGGGTTCCATCGCTCATGACCCACAACCGAGCAGCCGACGAGGAGGGACGCCACCCCCACATCCACCATCAAACTGCAACACATGTCCGCCCGCAGGTGCGCACATCCACACACACACACTCGCGCCAGCGCCCCGCGGACCCACCTGACGACGAACTCGTGGTGGAAGTGCGGGACCGCCAGGTCCGACAAGCAGCGCTCCGCCTCGTGCACGTCGTGCGTCGCGGTGTACTCCTGCAAGGGTGGGAAGCTGGCGGGGAGCTGACGTGCATGCAGCCGGGCAAGGGCGCAGGGACCGGCGACTGGTGGCGGTCGGGCGGGCGAGCACGGCGCGGAATCCGCCCTGAAAGCTGTACAGAGGTGTCGATGCACACACACTCAGCCACCTGCCCCCCCCCCCCCCCTCCCCAGCTCACGTTCACGGCCTCGCGCATGGCGGACGCCAGCTCAGCGGGCCTCGACACGCGCTCGTGCCAGCAGGTGCCCAGCCGCTCGCCGGCGTGGCGCGCCGACAGGTGCGCGCCGGCGTGCTGAATCACGCGCAGGCTGGCGCCGTCGCCGCGCAGGCGCGGCACCGACTCGACGAGAAAGCGCGGCGGGACCACCTCGTCCACGATCGCGCGGCCCAGGAAGAGGGAGAGTAGGGGCTCCGCGTCGGGAATGTCCAGGGTCAGGTCCTCCGCCGCCGCCACCAGGCAGCTGAATCCCAGGCAGGCTTGCTCTGCGAGGGTGGGGGGGGGGGCGGAGAGACAGGGCTTAGCAGTGTAATGCTGAGGTGCACCTCACGCCACAGGGTGTCACCACTTCTCTGAAATGGTTCCGCAGAGCCTCGACCCGGTGAGGCAAACCGCACGCTGCGCTGGCCCCACAGCATGGCCCTTCGCCAAGGGACCCCTCGGCGCCGCACCGTGGCTGATGACAGAGGGCACCAGGGTCGGGAGCAGGGCCGACACCAGCTCCCTCTCCCGATCCTTGCGGTCAAGCGCCAGTTGCACAGCCTGGTGAAGGAAAGGTGAGTTTGGGGAGGGCGATGAGGGGTATGGGCGGCCAGTAAACATCATGCACCAATGCTGAGCATGATGACCCAGGCCATCGTCCTGGCTGGCACGCAATGAAACAGCTGGCCTGCGTGTATCATCACACGCACATATTTCACAAAGATGTGGTGGAACCCCGGCTCGTCCAGCTCTGCGAGGGACCTGGCCACCTCGGTAGGGTCGCCTACGGCGGGGAGCAGGAGGGCGACAGGTTTGAGTGTCTGACCAGGTGGGGCATGGCCGCGCCACCCCTCGAGCCTGTTCCCCCTCGCCGCCTGAGCCTGTATGCCCCAGCATAGCATCACTCCAAGACCTCCTAGACCACAGGCAGGCGAGCCAGAGGCGCCAACCACATCTCACCTGCATCAAAATACTCTCTGAGGATGGCTTTGATGGCAGACTTGTAGGATCCCACATCAGCTGCTCGGAAGCCGCCGTTCCCATGACTCCGCGCCAGTCCGTTGGGGGAGCCTGTGTGATGAGTTACGGGGCGCAAGAAGAGTGAGCAGGATGCCCTTGTTCGAGGCAGCAATGGACCAGCTGCAATCAGAGGGAAACAAGCACAACAGCCAGACCAAATACGACTGGGGAGATTGCCGGTTCAGTGAGATCCCATGTGCGCCGCAGATGTCCCAGGTGAATATCCTCGTCCTTCCTCCGGCAGTGATAGCCGCCGTGTCAATCCAGCGCGACACCCCCTCCCCCACCCCTTTCCCCCCAACTCGACCCACCCATCGGCGTCTCCCCGCCGCTCTGGAAGCCCTCCTCCAGCCACCCAGCCTTGGTCGCGGCGGCGACCATGTCTTCAAAGGTCTCGCGCGCGGTCGGCACATCCAGCTCAATGTCGGCCAGCAGGTCAGAAACGCGGCCGAAACCCTGCATCGATGAAAACGGTGTGCCTCTTGATGTGCCCCAGGAGGCACGCGCCCTCACACGCACGCTGTCATCGGCACCTGAAGCCGTGGCCCGCCACCAGTCTTGCACTGAGATTCGGCCACACCTCACCTTTCCGACTTGGCTGGTGGACAGCACGCACTCGCCTGCCAGGCTGGAAAGCAGGGCGACGTACGGCGCCACGTCCCCCGTCTCCAGCCCCTTGACGATGGCCTGCATGAGGGGAGTAAGCAGGCCCGTGCTCGGCGCTGGGAGCAGGCACTGTCACGCCGCGCTGCGACGAGGTACTCATCAGCGTCGCACGGCCACGTCGCCGCACAATCTCCAAACCCTCTTCGACCCGGCCAGTGCCCTCAACTCCACGCGCCTGCTTCACGAGCTCGTGGTGGAAGAAGGGCACGGCCAGGTCGTGGAGCCGGCGCCTCACCTCCTCCACGTCGCGACCCGAGGCGTACTCCTGCGCGGGGAGGAAAGCGCGGCGTGAGACAGCACGGTGAAGTTTTGCGTGCTGAGTCGCTGTACAGTGGTCCAGTGCAGCGGCTTCAATCAAGCCCATCGCACCAGACTCCCACAAGGCCCACCCAACGCTCCTGGTTCCCCAGCGTACAATCCCCGCCCTCTTCCCCTCCAAAAAGACAGAGCCCACCTCCAGCATGCTCTTGATGGAGGCCCGGCTCTCCTCCAGGTCGAACCCGGCTGTGCCGCCCCAGCAGCGCGCCAGGCGCTCCGCGGCGTGCTTGGCAGCGAGGTGGGCCCGGCACTTGCGCGCCAGGGCCTCCCCCGCCGGCCCCACCGTGTCCAGGGAGGAAAGGAAGGCGGGGGCCAGCGCGTCGTCCACAACCGCACGGCAGACGAAGAGCGCGACGGCGTCTGCCGCGCCCGGGACGTCCAGTTCTAGGTCCTCCAGCTCGGCCGCCACGGCTTGGAAGCCCTTGCGCAGGTCCGAGGACGTGAGCAGCTGGGGTGGGAAGGGAGGAGGGGGGATGTATGGGGTTGGGAGTGGGACTGTGGTGTGGTGCTAGAAGCTGGGACCTGGGTGACAGGAGGGCGCCACTTTGGGAGAATGTCCCCACTCGCCTGCCACCCCACCAGGGCAACCCTCATTCCTCACTCAAACAATCCTCCCCCCCCCCCAAAAAAAAACACACCTCGCCATGCAGGGCTGCCAGGAGGACGCTGGTCATCTCCCGCTCACGGTCGTGGCGGTCCAGCGCCCCCACCACCGCCCGCTTGACCACCCAGTAGCCGTACTGGGGGCTGCCCAGGTCGCGCAGGCAGGCCGCCACCTCAGTCAGGTCACCTGTGCCGTAAAACTCGGCCAGGGCGGCGGTCACGCCCGCCTTGAAGGCCGCGACCTCGGAGCGGGCGGCGTCGCGCCAGAACACGTGCTGACTGGCGTCGTCGCCGTCCTCCCCGGAGTCGTAGTTGGGGTCGCGACGGTCTGTCACCGCATCCGTGGCGCCGCTCTCCTCGTCCTCCAGCAGGCCGCCCCAGGTGTACTTCCCGCCCGAGCCCCCTTTCTTGGCGCGGCCAGACCCTGGGAGGAAAGGTACGGAAGCGGGATTGGATGCTGAGGAGGAGCAGGTGCGGAGTGGTCCCTGGCACAGCCTTGCAGTGATACCTTGAGTGCAGCGCTTGCAAAACTCCGACACTGACGCTGGGCACAGACGGAAAAACAGGCGACCCTGCCGCATGCCAGCCGGCCACCAGGGAGCAAAAATCAGTGCTCAATTCCTACATCCCCGCCTGCTGACCAGTGTCACAACCAAGCAACAAAACAGAACCTCACCCTTGGTGCGGCGAGAGGTGTGGTGGTCGTGTGCCACCTCCCGCTTGCTCTTGGGGGCTGGGAGGGAGCTGGCCTTGCCAGACGAGAACCGGCCGATCAGCGAGCTGGGGTCCACGGGTGTCAGCGGCGGGGGAGCAGAGTCTGTGGTGGGTTTGAATGGATACTGCAGACCTCAAAGTTGGCTTGGAAATGAGTGAATTTGGGGCCCTGCCGGCGGTGCAGGATTCTAGAAGAATGCTGCTGCTGAGGGATTCCTCTCCATTGTTCAGGATTCATCATGCATGTGCAAACGCAGAGGAAAACTCAGTCGTTGTTCAACAGCTCAAGCCATCGATCAGTGCTCACCGGCCTCGGCTTGCTTCTTCGCCAGAGCCGCGTCCAGGGCTGCCCGCTGCTCCTCAGTGAGGAAGGGCTGGGAGGAGAGTCGCTCCAGCCCTTCCACTGCCGCCGCACGCGATCCGGGCTTGCGCATTTCGGATGCTGCAAGATTGACATCGTAGAGAGTGGGTGGTCGATGCTTGCATGCGTGAGCGTCGCAGGACGTGTCCATCCCCCGGCATCGGAGTCCAACCCGAGGTCCCACTCCCGTGCAACACCCCGAGTACTGGCAAGTACCTCAACCCTCGGACACTCAGATACACCTACATGGTATCTATGTGTACGTTCGGGCTCCTGAGTGTCGACGGATGTATCGGATACAAAAGGTCGGAAGACTATTCGGTCTACCAGACTCGCCCTGGGGGTTGGCTTTCTCCGGAACGCGACCGAAACCACACCTCCGTCTGCGTGCACGCTTGGATGGATGCGAGAATGTAAGGAAAAGATACAATCAAAGACTTGAAGATTGGTGTCGCTGGGTGTGCGTGGAGAATCAGATCCGATGTTCTGTTCACGGCACCCCCATCGTCTCCGCACACGGGACAATCGCGCCCTCGGGCTGGGCATGGGGACACTGGGGGTCCTCCAGAACATCGGCATCCTTCACGCGGCCGTGATGACCTCCTTTCTGACGGACCGCATACCTGATCAAGTGGTGTTGCGTGGTTGTGCTGAGGATCCACGCCTCGATCTTGGTGCTCCCTTGGGGAGGCGAAGTCGGTGCCCGACTCCACACCAGCTGTTTTGACTGAAACTCGATCACGACATCAGCGCATCTGGGAAGCCCTTCAAACTGAAAAAGGTCCCGGATCTCTAAGAGTTTTTACACCTGGGGGCCTTTGGTCATGGTGAGTTGACTTGTCGTGGGGGTGGTGCTGGGGTTCGCTCGCACACTCTTCTGACGCTCGGTTTGCCCTCCTGCATCCCCCCTCAACTTCCACAGATCCGGTGGGTTCTTCTCCTCAGTCGACAAGGCAAGGTTCGCTTGGCCAAGTGGTACACCACCACGACACAGAAGGAGAGGGCGAAGCTGCTCAAGGAGGTGTCTCCCCTGGTCCTAAGTCGGGCCGCCAAGCTCTGCAATTTCATCGACTGGAAGGACCAGAAGATCGTGTACAAGCGCTATGCCTCTCTCTATTTCGTCATGGGAGTAGACGCAGGTGCGAGCGTGGGCAGGCTGTCTGGTGTACCAGCTTAATGGCAGACTCCCCTCGGCGCAGCTTTACTTGTGGCTGCCTTCTGGTGACAGCAATCTGCAGGCTGGTATTTGATAGGTAGTCGTAGGCTTGCCATAGCCCATACCCTCCTTCAACACAATTTCCCCCCACCAGATGAGAACGAGCTCATCACCCTAGAGATCATCCACGAGTTTGTTGAGGTGCTCGACAAGTACTTTGGCAATGTCTGCGAGCTGGACCTGATCTTCAACTTCCACAAGGTTCGTTGTTGGCTGGTTCTTGGTCAGCGCACTCCCTTGCCCCTCCACCTGTTGTCCTGCGTCAATACTGTATTTACCCTCCTGTCCCTCCTCTATTCCCCCTTTCCACCACCAAGGCGTACTTCATCCTGGACGAGCTGCTGCTGGCGGGCGAGCTGCAGGAGCCCAGCAAGCGCGTGGTGCTGCAGAAGGTGGAGGCCCAGGACCAGCTGGTGGAGCAGGTCAAGTCGGGCCTGAGCGACGAGAAGATCGTCATCACCGGGCCCAGGGGCTGAAGCCGTTTGGAACGAAGGAACAGGCACCTGAGGGGGGGGGGTGCCCTTGTGGCATCGGGACCAACAAGCTGCAGCCACGGGATACTCACCATTGCCTCGGCCCCTCGACCCCGGATTCCCCTTGCGTGGACGCCCCTGCATTTCACCCCCCCCCTGCGCGCATGCTCAGAGCGCCCTGACACCGTGTACAGTCATCTTCTCCAGTGTGTTACTGGAGCAAGGAGGCCGTTGCAGAGCCGGCGGCCAGCTCAGGGTCAGCTTGGCGCGGGGTGGAGCTGTTTGGGAGGGCGACACATGGCGCATGCAGGAGTGGTGAAGGGGGAGCGATACTTGCTGGACACTGCGCCTCGCCACCCCTTGCGTGGCAGGGTGCCGCCCACCCCTCCGCCGCGATCCCCGCTCCCACCCCTTCCTCTTTGTGAATCCTCCCTCGCGTTACTTGGACTCGTCCACGCTGCTGCGCCGCGCGCTCTCGGCCATGCCCGCATAGCTGGCCTCGGCCGCCGGCCCCGCGCCGTCCGCGCCCTCGCCCGCGCCGCCGCCGCGCTTCCCCGCCGCCTCCCCCCTCGCCTCGTGCGGGGCCAGGTCGCGCTCGGAGGCCACCTTGCCCGACTGCCGCGCCACCAGCGTCGCGTACAACCCCCCACGCCGGACCAGCTCGGCGTGCGTGCCGCGCTCCGCCACGCGCCCCGCGGACATGACCACGGTCAGGTGCGCGTTGCGCACCGTGGACAGCCGGTGAGCGATGACCAGCACCGTGCGGCCCGCCTGCCGCATCGCGCGGTCCAGGGCCGCGTGGACCGCCGCCTCGCTCTCCGCATCCAGGGCCGAGGTGGCCTCGTCCAGGATCAGCACGGGCGGGTCGCGGATCAGCGCCCTGCGGTTGTCGAGCAGGGGGGAATGGGTGTGGGATGTGAGGCTGGGGGTGTGGCGAAGGGGCCCGTCGCAGGCTTCGTGTGGTGCGAGGCCCAGCCGGTCTGGACCCCTCCTCCACGCCCCCCTTCACCTGCCGATCGCCACCACCGCCACCGCCCCTGGGACCCCCACCTGGCGATGGCGATGCGCTGGCGCTGGCCCCCCGACAGCAGGCGGTCGGTCACCGGGGTGTCGAAGCCCTCGGGCAGCCGCTCGATGAAGCCGCGCGCGTTGGCCAGCTCCGCCGCCCTCTCCACCTGGGCCCGCGTGGTTCCGGGGGTGCCGTAGGCGATGTTCTCCGCCACCGTCAGCGAGAAGAGGCGGGGGTCCTGGGGCAGGAGACCGGGGTGTGTGGGGGGAAGGGGGTGATTGGGGGGGGAGGGCAGCGTCTTGCGATGCGGAATGATGGGAGACACGGCCAGGCGTCGCATGCACGCACCCCGCATCCTGGACAGGGGGAGGCCGGCGAGCACATCGGCGGGTCCTCCGTCGTGATCTACAGGAAATCGCGGGGAGGCACCGCCTCCCACCCACCCTGCGCGCGGCTGCCCCCAACCCCCCCACGACCCCCTTCCCATCGACCCCATCACCTGGCTGACCACGCCCAGCTGGCTGCGGAACCATGTGGAGTCCAGGGTCCGCACGTCGTGCCCGTCCAGCTTCACGGTCCCCACACTGGGGTCATACAGCCGTTGCAGCAGCGCCACCAGCGTGGTCTTCCCGCTGCCGGACAGCCCGACGAAGGCCACGGTGCGGCCGGCGGGGATGATGAGCGACACCCGGTCCTGATGGAGTTGGTGGTGGGGGAGAGGGGGGAGGTGGGTGAGGGGGCAGTGTTCCAGGCCAGACTGGGGCAGGGGCACTGCACCTCAGCACAGGCACTCGCCGGCGTACAGAGTCAGGGCAAGGGCCGGCACCCGATGACCGACGGGCAATGTGGAGCCCGACGGCACACGCCGGGCCTCAGCCATGCCGTGTTTCGAATGACACCTCACAATGACATTGTCCCCACACCGCCCCTGAACACCAACAAGACGAACACTCCCCACACACTTTTCAACGCTGCCAGCTCACCAGTGCCAGGACATTGGGGCGGGAGGGGTAGCTGAAGGAGACATTGCGGAACTCAATCTCGCCCGTAACGGTGTCCAGGACCTTGCCCGGCGCCAGCTCGGGCGCGGGGGGTTTGCCCAGGTACGCCATCACCCTGGTTAGTGGTGAGACAAGTCATCAATACGGCGTGTCGGCTCATCTGTGCCGAGGCGATCTATCGCAAGCGTGGGTAACAGGCAACTCACTCCTTCACCAAAAAACCTCCTTCCCAAGCCTCCCTCACCGCTCGCTGGCACCCAGGCTCTCCATGATGGGTCCGTACTGGTCTGCCACGGAGAGGGTGGCCGACGCGAAGAGCTCCACATACAGCATGAAGCTGGTGAGCTGCTGCGCGCTGATCTGGCCTGTGAATGGTGGGTGGGGTGGGGGGCAAGGCGTTTCGAGGTGGGGGATACCATCAGGGGGCCTCATCTGTGGGCTACCTGGCTGGATCTGGGGCACTCCAGTGTGACGCGCAGCGACACGGCCACACCAACACATACTCCGGAAGCTCGCGGACGCACTGCACCACCACCCTTCCCCCGCTTTCCCACTCCCTCCCCCCCACTCTCAAAAAACGACCTACCTCTAAGCGCGGCACTGCCGCCAACGAGCAGGGCGGCGGCGCGCATGGCGTTGTAGCCCCAGTGGTTTGCCACGACAAAGGAGGAGTAGGCAACCGCCTGGCGGCTGGAGATGTGGGCCAGCCTGCCCAGCGTCTCGTCGTACCGCGCGCAGGCGGCATCCTCGGCGCCAAATGTGCGCACGACGCGGGAGAGCAGGAAGCTCTCCTCCGCACGCGCCGTGGCGTCCGCCAGCGTGTCCTGGTATGCGCGCTGCGCTGCGCGGGAGAAGGCGCCGTATGCGCAGGCGGCGGACGCCAGCGCGGCGCCGACGCCGGCGGCCGCGGCGGCCATGCCGCGGTTCAGCGTGTAGAGGTACAGCCCCGCGCCGGCGCACTGGAGCGCGTTGCGGAAGGCCACGTTCACGCTGGTGGCCACCATGCGCGACACGGAGGCGCAGTCGGAGCCGAGGCGGGAGGTGAGCTGGCCGCCATCGGCGCCATCAAACCATGCCACCGGCTGCAGCATCATGGACCGAAAGGCGCGCGACCTTTGTTTGGGGGAGGGGTTGGATTGCGGATGAAAATTGGGGGGAAGTCGGGAGGGTGACTGAAGCCAGCAGGGCAAGGAAGGAGCAACATCATTGGGGTCACTCATTCTCCAGGCAGTCAGTCAGTGGGTCACGGACAGGGGTAACACCCAGCATCTCCACCGTCGAGCAGCTGGCCAGGACTGGCTGTTTCCACCTGCTCCCAAGCACTGACTCCTGAAGCCTCCACGCCCTGTACCTGAGTCGCTGGAGCAGGTTCATGTTTACCAGGCTGAACAGGTATCCGCGTAAACCAGCAGCCACAGCAAACACCGCGGTTGCGATCTGATCACAGCGTGAAAGGAAGGATAGATGTGTGCTGAGCAAGAATGTAGAGCCAGCGATGATCCCAGGTGCATTGGACTCATCTTCCACCCGGGATACCACAGCAGCCTGCTCTGGCCCCTGCCTTGAGAGCAGGCACAAGGTCAATGCCAGCAACCAGCTCCGCACCGTGAGTCGCGTCAGGGACTGGACAAAGGCGGGGCTGGAGCCCTCCTGGGCCGCCGCAAACACGGCTGCCGTCACAAAGTGGGGGATGGTGAGCTCTGCGCCGGCGGCCAGCAGCATGGACGTGATGGCGCCGGTGAGCAGGGCCGAGTCCTCCTTGACCAGGGCGGACAGCTGCTTCAGCGTCCTGCCCAGCGGCTCCTGCGGGGCCACACTCGGGCCACCTAGAGACCACCACTCCTTCCAAGAGGCACGCAGGTGATGCCATGGCGGGCGCGGCCTTGGTGGAGCGGCAGTGGCGGTCCCGCTGCTCGCTGCGATGGTCAGGCGACGAATGAGCGGGCGGGTGGACCGAAAACACAGGGCCCTTGGGGTTGCCACCGTCCTCATGGGATAGGAGAGGACCCCCTGACACCCCATGGAATCAGGTCGATCAGTGCTATTTCATGTGTCGGAAAGAAGAGCAGGCCTGCAGCCACCCGGCACGGAAGGCTCGAGCGGGCAAGCTCCGTCAGGAGAGGAGAAGAATCGACACGAGTGCATGCTTGGACATGGAGGGCGACCGAATACGCCTGTGATCGACATCAAGGTGAGCGAGTAACGCTCTGTGAGGACCCTGCCGATGGCTGGCACGGCCAGGAGCACTGATCTCATCACGTGACCGTGCTGCGCGTGAACCTCACAGGGAGGCCAAACTAACGGTGTTCCAGTGAGACAAAATGTGGAGCGAAGCTTCGAGTCTGCCTGTCGTAACAAGCAGGAATGGGCAGGTTGAATATTGTCGATCTCCGTGGTGCCCTCTGATCACCTTTCCCCCTCCTGCCCAACAATTCCAAGCAGTACAATGAGCGTCAAGTGGAACCCCGGGCAGGTCATTTCAAGTGTACCTTCTTGCCTTGGTAAATGTTCCCGCCGACGGGCAGAGTATGCAAGAGAGGTCTGATGATAGTATGAAGTGTATGTATCCCAAGGGCACACCCAAGGTGTGCTCGACATTCTGACGAAGGATTTCCTGAGTACGACCGCAGTACCGACACCTGTGAAACCTGCAATGCAGTGCTCGAGTTCTTTTATGTCACATAATGTTTTTGAGAATTGTTCCAGCGGGATAAATTGGTAATATCGTATTGCTGATTGTCATAATGAGTTTCCCGTCGCGATTGCGCCCACGATCACACGGCCGGCTGTCCGGGGCCCCGGTGGCAGGTGCCTGGAAACAGCCCTAGATCCCAATCAGATACTCGGCACTTTCGGAAGGCTCACACAGGAGCCCCAAATCTGCGGGCGGCAAATCTTCGTCATATGGGCGCCCCGAATCAACCCTTCGATATTTGTGATTCATTCTCAAACAGATTTTGCCCGTGGCCACAAAGGCATGCAAGTCTCCGCTCCTCACCGAATGAGCGCCGCGGAGAACCCCCGCCGCAAGTCGCTCGACCTGCCTGATGTGGCCGCGCGAGCAACGCCTCGGCCCGTCATATACCAGGTGTGTTTATCGGAAGCGTGAAGTGACCGCGTGCTGGTGCGCGCACCCCTCACCGAGCTGAAAGAGCCCGCCCGACTCCCCCTCTCGCAGAACGTGCTGCAAAAGGTGCAGCTGGGGGTATCACCCAACACGGTCACGACAGGAATTCCACCAATTTTTAAGAGGCCTCCCCCCGTCAAGCGTCAATAACGACGAGTGAGTAGCTCAGACTCGTCCTGATGGCGAAGTCGAGTTCACGGCCCTGTAGCGCATAGGTGTAAACCCCCTCCTTTTCCTGACTGCTTTCTTACCTAGGTTTTGAGGCTCCCCTTCTCCCACCTAAGCGTGGCGTGTACCAGACCAGGAATCATTTTCCAGATCACTGTCACTCTCTCCGAGTGCACTCGCCCCCCTTTCATTGTGAGGAGTACAGGTTGTATACAGACAATGCCCAAGGACACATGGTGATGGTAGCAGCAGATCAGTTTGGGAAAGGACTCGTGTGGACTTAATCAGTCAGGCGACCGCTCTTGGGTTGTGACAAGGAAACTGCATGATACAGGAAGAGGGCGCCCCTGCTTTGCTCGAGCCATGCGTGACGAGAGTGATGGTTTCAAGTGGAGCAGGTGCACATCTTTGCACACCTGCTGCGTGTTGTCCACGGAATTGGTACAGATTGGACCGGCCCTGTGCAGCAGATGTGCTTGGCCTCATGTTTCACCCGGTTCGAAGTCTTGTGCTCCCTTGCAGGCTTCGCACGCGACAGAGACTCCGCCAATACCTGAATGGACCGACGGTGACCTGTTGGTGGGAAGGGGGGGGGGGGGGCGATGTGGAAGGGATGTTCCTATCCAACCTTCAGCTGAGTCGGGCAGTGGGCCGTCCACGCCCTCCCTGCCAGGGCCTCGCCCCTCCCCCCGGCCTAGACCCCCTTCACGGATCCCTGCCGCCACAGCCCAGCTCACAGACTCTTGGCCATACCCTCTCCCTCATCATCCGCCCTTTTCCCACCTCTACAGCCAACCCCCGCCCACTCACCTCACGACCCTTCACTTGGGCGACGCTATCCCGGGCACCCCCACCACCGCCAGGCCGGGCAGCTGGGCCTGGAGGCGGACCGCGCCCGAGGCCCGCGCCCTCGTCCCGTGCAGCACCAGGGTCTCCAGCGCGGGGAGGCGGGCCAGCGCGGCCAGCCCCGCGTTGGACACCCCCGTCTGGCTCAGGTTGAGGGCGCGGAGGCGGGTGAGGGGTGCCAGGGCCCCCAGCGCGCGCGAGGTGACCCCCGCGTTCTGCGCCAGGGACAGCGTGCGCAGGTGGATCAGGGCGGCGAGGCGCGCGACCCCGGCGTCGCCGACGCCACCGCCGCACACCTCCAGCGAGCGGAGGGAGGTGAGGGCGGCCAGCGCGGCGCAGCCGGCGTCGGTCACGCGCGCGCCAAACAGGTCCAGCGCCTCCAGTGCCCGCAGGCCGGCCAGCGCGGCGCAGCCGGCATCGGTCACGCCCCGCGCGTCCAGGTTCAGCCGGCGCAGGCTCGTGCAGCGCGCCAGCTCCACCACGCCCGCGTCGTCCACGCCCGTGAAGGCCAGGGACAGCGTGTGCAGGCGCGGGAGGCGGGCCAGCGCGGCGCAGGCCCGCGGCCCTGCCACGCGCGTGTCGGACAGGTCCAGGCGCTCGAGGGAGCGCAGGGCCCCCAGCGCGGCCGCGCCGGCGTCGCCCACGCGGCACGCCTCCAGGCCCAGGGCGACGAGCGTGTCCAGGCTCGCCAGCGCCATGACGCCTGCGTCGCCCACGCGTGTGTACGTCAGGTCCAGGTCGCGGAGGGGGGGGCGGGCAGCGGCCAGCGCGCGCGCCGCGTCGTCGCGGACGCCGGGGCAGCGTGCCAGGCTGAGCTCCCGCAGTGCGGGCAGGCGCGGCAGCAGGCCGGCCAGTCCCGCGCCCGTCACTGCCGTGCGCGGCAGACCCAGGACGCGGAGGTCGGGGAGGGACGGCAGCGCCGCCAGCCCCGCGTCCGTCACGCGCGTGCGCCCCAGGCGCAGGCAGGCCAGGCGGCGCAGGCCCGCCAGTGCCCCCAGCTCGGCGTCGCCCACCCGCCCGCACCAGCCCAGGTCCAGGTGGCGCAGCGCGGGCAGCGCGCGCAGCGGGTCCAGGCACCGCACCCCCGCGCACAACTCCAGGCTGAGCCAGGCCAGACGCGGGCAGGCGCGCAGCCATTCCAGAGCCCGGCACGTCAGATGCTCCAGGCCCGCCAGGTTCAGCTCTTCCAGCGCCGGCAGGCCTGCCGGGATGCACCAGTGGGGTGTGGGGGATGGATTCCAAGGGGGTGGGTGGGGGACAAGGGTGGGGAGGAGGACCGTGACCCGAGGCACAGAGTCTTGGAGGACGATCCAGCCACAGCCGGAGGAGCCGGGTCGAGAAGAGACCCAGCGGCCAGCAGGTGCGGCTTTCATGCCGGCCACATGGCCTCAAAACACCCTGACGAAAGCGAGAGATGGGCCGGATTCTGCATCACATGCGGTTGCATGCGGCCCCCCTCACCCCGCCCGGCCGCCACCTGCGTTTCCCACCTTGCAGCACGGACAGCGAGGCGTCTGTCAGCCCCTGGCAATACTGCAGGTGCAGGACCTTGAGCCGGGGCAGCAGGCCGAGCTGCATCATTCCATGGTTGGTCACCTGCGAGGCACGGCTTCTCGTGGTGATCACGTGCCGCAGAGTGCATCGCTGGATGACCAATCCTGGCGCAGAGACCGTGCAGACCCATGTTGACCCCATCCCATGTCCCGGCTCCATACTGCTCATGCCCCTCACCCATTCCCCCACCCATCTCGCTCACCGCGCTGCGACCCAGTTTGATGATTTCCATGCCGGGGTTGACTAGGGGCACGAGCCACTCGTCCGTCACCGGGCCGGGGTAGGAGTCGAGCGCCAGCCGGTGATGACTAAGGCGCCCTAGCCGGATGGCCACTCCCTCGTCAAGGGCCCCACACTCCACCAGGCGATCCAGGAGCGCCTGCGCCAGGTCAGGAGGCAGCTGGTCCAGTCGATGTGCCGGGAGGTCGGCTATGCACTCGCACAGGCGGCCGAGCGCGAGGTCCAGCAGCGTGCGGTCCCGGGGGGGAAGCGTGGCGCGCGCCGTGGCGGAGGTGCGGGAGGACAGGCTGCGCTTCAGCTTCCCGAACGGACTGTTCCGTGGGGATAGGACCCCGTTGGGAGGGTCGGCGCCCTTGCCATGCGTACACGACCACCCGGATCCCATGTTTGGAGCCGGGTGCCCGATCCTCGGGAATCAGGTGGGCCAGACACAAGCCTTCAATCGAGTGACCGGGTAGGATTACACATTAAAATATCGTGTCCTCCTGGCCCAACACGAGGTGATGGCTCGATCAGCGTCATGATGGTGTCGGGAGATTCGTCAGTGCGGGATTTCCCGACACCCCACTTTGCTTTGCATGTACGAAAACGGCAGCTTTCTGAAAATATGTCAAAGAGACCTTACATGTTCAAGCACAGGCACCTTATTCATCCTTGATAAATAAAATCACTAATCGGTAAACCTATCCTGCTTGGATAGGTTCCTGAAGGTCCCTTCAAAGAGATTGCACCAACACAGTCCATCACCAGGAGATTTGAGACATGCCTCAACCCAAAACTCAAAGTGCAGCAGAGCACACTTGCCTCGAAATAAATAGTACTTCTCTCCAATTCTTTTCCAAGCCTGCGTGCTGGGGCAACTCTTGAATGACCATCCGGTTCCGAGAGGCAGTGCCGGCAAAATCATTGCGCGAGGCCTTCGAAATCGCCGCACACATATATCACGACGGGCTCTTACTGACCATATTGCATTTTTACAACGGAACGATACTCTGATAGCTATTATAACCTCACAGAGTGTACCAACAAGTAGGAATGGCGGAGGACATGGTGAGCAGCGATCACATACTCAAGAGACCTGACAATCCCTTCAGAATGGACGCATAATATCCATTGCCATACACATCCATATGCAGGCTACGTGGAGGCCCGAAGGTCGCCCGGCGGGGCATGAGGTGGCAACCTTTGCTGGAGGGTGCTTCTGGAGTGTGCAGCTTGCCTTCGACCGGCTCCACGGCGTGCTCTCCAGCTCCGTGGGCTACGCGCAGGGCCAAAAACAGCACCCGACCTACAAAGAGGTGCGCTCACGGATTTATTATGTATAGATGTAATTGGGTGTCGAAAGATTGAAGCGCTGCATGCACGGGGACGACGGTGGCCAGGGGATGTTTTGGTGCCAGCTCCCTCCAGCCTTAGATCGGTCTGTGCCGGTCCCGACACCGTAGGTGTGCACGGGAACGACCGGGCATTCCGAGGCAGTTCAGCTCGTGTATGACCCAGAGCAGATCACCTACGCCCAACTGCTGGATGCCCTGTTTGAGAGTGAGTATGTTCATGTGATGGAAAGGGAATGGCATGCCATAATATCTGGCTCTCTGCTTGATCAGATTACAAGCAGTCCCCCAGTATATGAAGCCCAGCAATCTCACCTATGCATTGTCTCGCCACTGCCTGCAGAGATAGACCCTCTCCAGCGCGAAGGTCAGGGCGCGGATGTCGGATCGCAGTACCGTACCGGCATCTACACCCACAGCCAGGTTCAAGCGCAGGTGGGCCACATGCTGTGTCGGCAATAAGGGAACTAGAGTTCAGGCACCCAGGCGGCATGCCCACCCTCTGATGTGTGGCTGTTGACCTCATGCACGGCGTGTGGCACTTTGTGTCCCCAGGCTGCCAAGCAGAAGATGGCTTCCGTCGAGGGCTGTGCGGTCGAGGTGGAGCCATTCACCGTCTTCTGGCCCGCAGAAGAGTACCACCAGAGGTAACACCCGGGGACTTGTATGATACCAGGCTCTGCTGAGGATGGTAGCACCTGGAGGGTGGTCCAAACGTACCATGCCGTTCTTATGGCAGCTGCATGCAGCTCGTCAGCCAGACTCACCCTCTTCCACGGCAGGTATCTGGAGAAGGGCGGGTCATGCCGCATGAGTCAAAGTGCTGCCAAGGGGTGCAAGGAACCAATTCGGTGCTATGGATAGGGAGAGAGTACCTTGGCTGTAACCCACCGGACTTGGGCAGACGAACGGATCGTCGAAATGAGTAGGAAATCTTCGAATTGCCGCTGCCGCCAATCCTTGCTCCTTTGCTGGTCGGACTGCGCGTATGTGCAAGGTGCAGGGCCACACCCTTCACCTCAACTTGGTAAAATAGTAATAATCCGTGACCAATCATCTACATATCGGGCCGTGGAGTACGGGCAATAATATGGAGACTCGCCTGGCGCTGGATAGCAAGGCCAAGCAGCTGAACCTCGCCTTCAAGAAGAAATTCGTGCACAGTACCGACACCGAGCTCAAGGTTCAAGGTCGTCTGAATACCACCAATGCAGCGGCCACCGTCAACACCAGCCTCAACAAGGTGGGCTGGTTCAGTGCGGCACGGGGGTGGGGGCAGTATACACAGCACATCTTCGATCGCCCACGTCTCGGCCCATTGGTTTGGGGTGCCGTAACCCTTGCTTTCTGGAGTTTAACCAGCTGGCCATCCTCTCCCCGCAGTACTTTTACCTGGGCTCTTCCGTCGTGAAGCCGAATGAGGCCTACCAGCCGGACACGAGGCTGAGGGTAGGACTGGGGGCCAAGGCATCGACATCCTCAGACGACGTCACCATTAGGTGCGGGGCCCCGGGGACTGGACCTCCGACTCCGTACCATGTGTGGGAAGGATGCTGCACTGCTGTTGAGGGGCCAGGACACAGCACCTGCCCCGCCTGACCGGCGCGACCCTCTTCCACTCCCCCTTGCAGTCTGAATGCCAAGAAGAAGATGGTGCTCAACCGTGTGCAGCATCTGACGCGCAATCGTGTGGTGATCGACAGCTACACCCACGCCGTCGCACGTGTGCACTACGACTTCAACCCCCGCAGCGAGACGGTGCGGACGTGGGAGAGGGGATTTGGAGGGTATGGTGGGGTCGCTGGCCTGCAGCCTGTTGATGCATCCTATCCAGGCCTGAAACAAGGTCCAACCCTGCATGCACCAACCCTCTACCCCCCCTACCTTCCATGCAGTGGAGGGGCGAGGCGTCGGCCTGCTTGAGCCACGCAGTGCTCCGCTTCACGGAGGATCAGGACCTGCGTGTCACCGCGGGTGTGCGAGCGCCGCTGACTCAGCACAGCGTCGGCCAGCCGGAGCCGTTCCTGAGGGTCCAGGCAAGGAGGCCGAGTGGCAAGGCGTGTGCGGTGTGCACCTTGGATGCCCCTGCGTGCCTGGCGATTTGCTGACGCTCCCTCCCAACCCCAACCACTTCAGGAAAATTGCTGGACGCTGAATGTGGACCGCCACGGCGGCTGGAACGTGCTGTACGACCTCTGATTCGTGGCATCGCTACGGTCTCGCTTGCTCAGCACTCACCCTACATGACCCTGACTCGAAGTATATTCCCTGTGGTGTAAGCACGGACCCCTCTGGCCCTGCCTCTCACGGCAAGGGAAGACGAGCCCGGACGTAGATGTGAAGCAGCCAGTTGAAGAATGACACACGACAGCCAGGGCCCCGGGAACTTCGAGCTTCATACCTTCACACCACAGGGCAGTGGACGGCCAGCAGAGGCCCCTCAGCCCCGGATGTGGCGCTGGACGTCCGAGAGCAGGCCGTCCATTTGCTGCAGCAGGTCCCCCAGCGGGTTTTCCGCCGCGGCGGGCCCGGCCTCCGCCACCGCGCCGCCCGCCACCCAGAGGTCCGCAGCGGGGAGGCCGGCCCGGGACGCACGCGGCCTGCGTGGCCCGGCCCCCGACGCGCGGCGGCCGGGAGGGAGGAGGGCGTGCAGCGCCTCGCCAGTCGGGCTGGCCGGTGCCTCACAGGGGCCGGCCAGCGAGGTAGGGCCCTTCTCCAGCACCCCACCGCGCCGGCCGCCGCCCTGCAGGGCCCGCGCCGTGGGTGTGTCAGCGCTGCTGTTGGAGCGAGACGACCCTGGGGGGGGTTGGGAGGAGCGGGTGGCAGATGGACAGAACGTGCAGGGCGGGCCGTGGGGCTCAGGGGAACGAGGGTGGAGCCGGGCTGGTCAGCGGGATCCCCACCCCGTCGCCATACCCACGACACCCCAGCCGCCACCGCCCGATGCAAGCCCCGGCATTGGCCATGACCCGGTCACTTGCCCGGCGTTCGGTCCAGGATGAGGTTGGGGTCCAGCTTGGTGGTGGTCCTGGGCCCTACCCCCGACCAGTCGAGCCGCTGACTCTGCACGGCGGACGTGCGCCGCTTCAGGAAGGGTTTGGCGGCCACGGTGGGCCACGAGGCAGAGGGGGTGCCGAGGATCTGGGTGCCAGCGTCCGTGAGGAGCACGGGGCTGTGCGCAAGTCGGGTGGCCCGGTGCGGGAGGGCCGCACTGCCTGGCGCGTGGGCGGCCGCGTCGCCGGGTGGAGGCCCCACTTCGGGGGAGACGCTGCGGCTCCTGCATGCAAGGATGGCGTGAGCACCCCTTGGCCTGAATGACGGCTGTGTGGAGCAACGTGCCCGGGCAGTGCCCCCTTGGTCAGGCACGCTGAGCATTCATTGCAAGCCCTTCCTGGCTCGCCACGCTGCACCGCACCCCCAGTCCGGCCCGCCGCCCACCGCTGCGCGGAGGAGAGGACGGAGGTGTGGCGCGCGGCTGCTCGCTGCTTGAGACGCGAGAGCGCCTGCAGGCGCTGCTGCGGCGGGGCTTGGAGGGGCGGCTGCTGCGAGCATGGCGGCGACGGGCGGGGCCCCACGTCCTCGGCGCCATCTGCCCCCGAGCTCCCCCCGCTGCTGCCCTCAGACAGCACGCCGTCCCGCTCCGTACTGCCTGCCCCTGTGATATTGGGGTTGTGCTGGTTGGGGGAGCCGGTCTGCCCGGGGCCAGCCTCCTCTGGGGTCGAGGTCGGCCCAGGCTGGGGCAAGCAGGTCAGGAACACCGGGGGACTGATCAGGTCGATGCGGTCCACGGGTGTGGGGCAGCCAGACGGCAGTTCCGCGTGAGGCTCCGGCTCAACGGCGGGCCCTGGTGCTCCTGCCGCCAGATCACGGCTCAGCTCCTGAAGCACTGCGATGCCAGCAGCTGCGCTCCCAGGCGCAGACTCCTCCCCCGATGAAGCCGTGTCCGCATCTGTGAAGGCAGCCTCGGGTGCCGTCGACGCGCTGGCTGATGGAGACTCTTCTCTTGAGGCCGCTGCTTGCTGGTCCACGGGGGCTGGTTCCTGGTCGTGATGGCCTCCCAGATCGTCCAGGATCGCCGTCCCCACGTCTGGTGATCCGGCAGCCTCCCAGGCTGACATCGACTCCACCTCAAGCCCTCCAGTGCCTGTCTGAGGCAATCGCGTTTCGCCGGTCAATTCAGTTTCTGTAATTGTGGAGAGCGCTACTGCCTCAACCAGCAAAGCTGTCCCCTGCAAGCCGCTGGTCGCCGCAGCGGCAGGCATGCCTGCAGCCTCCTGGATCGAGGCTGGCGCTGCTTTGCAGGGTGTGCCCCCGCTCCCTCCAGGCAGGCCGTCCCTCCCGTCAGCCTCGCTGGCATGTCCCGCTCTCGCCGGATCGGCCTCCTCAAGTAGGTGACGCGGAGTGCTCTCTCCCAGCGAGCCCGGAAAAGTCCTGCGCCGGGCTCGCTGGGTGTCCGGGGACTTCACCCAGACCTGGTAGTGCGAGAGGCGCTGGGCCTTGGGGCCCCTGTCCCCACGCGGCGTGGAAGCCCAGTGCCCGCTCAGGGCCTCGAGGTCGGAGGTCAAGGTGGACAGGGAGGCAGAAAGGTTGGCGCTGCCCGGCAGGCTGGGCGAGTGGGGTGGCTGTGGGGAGGACTTTGGTGGCCCCGGAGGTCGAGGCAATTGCTGGGGGGAGGGCGGCAGGCGAGTCGGGGAGGGCGCCTGGCCCCGAGCAGATGTCGGGGTCGACCTTATCATGGAGGCCTGCGCGTGCATGGCAATGGAGAGCAGCTTTCAGCATGCATGAGCTGGATGCTTTACGAGCCCCATGGACACAGGGTGCCACTGAGTAGGTGGGACACTTCATCCACCTGTTCAGCCTCGATCTCGGCCAGCACGGTCTTCATTCTATCCAGGTACTCCTGCATGTCGCCAGTGCTACGCCGCGGGGCAGTCTGCGCGGGGATACGGAGTTTATGATGGTCCAGCACTAGAGCAAGTCCACAGCCCAAAGGCTTTGAGCACCCACCAGCACGCACCGTCATGGTTGGAGTCGTTGATCTATGACAGCACGATGAGTCTGATTCATGTCGAGATTCGAGCTGGGCTTGTGACGGTGACGGTGTCACACCTGCTCATCGTGCATTTCAATTGCTGCCATGCTTCGCTTCGCGTCGTGCCGCGAGGAGTGGAGGGCTCCCTGACACACATTCCCCGATCTCGCAAAACAACACGCTGTGATACAGGGTAGAGTACATCGCGTTTGATGCACAGTGTTCGGGGAAACTTCCTCTGCCTCTCGAATGAGGCAGAGTAGATTGCAAGGGCGACGCAGGGCGTGCTGAATGTCCTCACTGTCTCACACCGTTCACCCGATGGCCGGTGGGTGAGCTGGCCACATATGTCGTTTGCGTTGCTCCAAAATTCATCGCTTCAGCTTTGTAAAGCCGGTGCATTCCCCGGGATGCCAGCGAGGTAATGTTGTTTGACCTGTCCATCTCCAACTGGATTCATGCGAGGTTCTCCTGGTGGTCTTCATTGCCATGCACCCACGCCATGACATGCCTCATGCCACAGACCCATGCCATCTCCGTGGACAACATAACTGGAAGGAGTTGCGTCATGACCAGGGCCTCCACCCGAGGGAAGCGCGGAAAGGCTGCTTGCGCGCAGCCCCTCGTGCCTTCCGACCGACCCGGCGCACCCTCCAGCCGAGCTTGGTGGGACCCCTGGGACGCCCTCCCGGCGCTCTCCTGTCACTCCCCTGGCACAGCGCAGCAGGATCTGGTCCCCACTCCCAATTCTAATCCGGTGTACTATGCGGGCGTGTTCCTCACCCCCACCAGCCAGCGCATCCTGGGGGAGGCCTGCCCCCCCACCCTCGCCGTGCGCTCCGGTGACCATGTGACCCTCGCCTTCCGCCCTGATCACGGCACCTGTCAAGCCCTGCCGCTTGGCCAGAGCGTGCTGCTGAGGGTGCTGGGCTGTGTGACTAGCAATGAGTCGCAGGTACAGGGCATGGGAGTGTGGTCTCGGCTGGGATGGGGGATGCAGCAGTCGGGAGCCGGTGGCATGGACCATCGGTAAACATTCTTGTGAAAGACATGTGATCAACATCATGGCAATCTCGTCCCCACCATTCCCCCCTTCCCTCCCCAGGTGGTGGCCGTGTCAAGGCCCTCTGGCATCCCCTACTTGAATCCCAGCCCGCCGCACATCACCATCTCCTGCGCCGAAGGCGTCGCGGCGGCCCGGTCGGGAGAAGTGCTGCGTGCCGCGCTGGGCGCTCGAGCCCTTCAGCCGCTCGCCGGCACCAGCTTCCTCCACGGTGTGTTTCCAGGGGGTAACCTAGCATTGCCTCTGCACTCCTCGTCTGGGAGATCAGGCGTGGTCTATGCATGCTGACAGCATCAGTAGGCCATTCTGAAGGCTGGCGACCCCGCCGCAGCCAGCTGCAACAACCGCCCCGTTCCTTGCATCCCGCCCCCTGTCCTTGTGCAGGACTTGTCGGGGTGAGGCTGACAGATGGCAGGACCATCACAGCCCCAGCGGAGCTGGAAAGCGTGCTCAGGGGTGTGGAGGGGCCAGCCTGTGTGGGGAGTGCGCCGCCGCCCTTGCGGGTGCGGCCGCGCTCCGCGCCTTCGACCCCACCCGCCTCGGAGGCTGCGCCCGGAGCCGGCGACCCTCGCGCCGTGCCAGAGGCAGGCGAGGGCCCCGTTGCAGAGGCTGCATCCGCAGGCGACAGTGGGGTTTCAATTCCCATCCCAGGTCGTGCCGCTCGGCCCCTGGTGCCTGCGTCCGTGGTGCTCCCCTCCCGCCATGTGTTCCGAGTCCTGGATCGCACCGCCAAGGACCGGGGTGCACCTGCGGAGGAGCAGGACCCCGAAGCCCGCGACCAGGCCGCCCCGAGCGCTGAGGGGGGTGACCCGGCTGCGCACTGTTCCGCCCAGCCGGGGGTGGGCGGCCATGCCGAGCTGGCGGCCGCAGAGCGGGCCGTAATGGCCGCCCACGTGCAGGCGCGGGCGGCCTACAGGGAGGTGAGCCTCATGTCGCCCATGCCAGGACAGGTCCTTGTGCAGATGGCCGTGTGCCGGGCAGCCGAGTCGGCAAGGCCATGGAAGGGTGACCGAGGTTGCCTGTCGCCTTTTGCAGGCAGCGGCCAGCTGTGCCGAGGGAGAGGAAGAGCATGCTGCCTGGCTGCAGAAGGCGGCGCAATCGCATGCCGCTCTGGCGCGAGCCGCCCGGCAACGAGCCAATGCCCTGGCATACATCGGCAGGTGGGTGGGGAGGGCCGTGAACCGATTGCCAGTGCTGCCCTTTCTGCACTGCAACCAGTGTGTGGAGTGCTGGCAGCCCCTGGAGCTGCTTGCAATCCTCATCCTGTCTGTCATCTTGTAAAGCTTATCGCTTGTTTGCTGTATGCAGTAACTCTGTACACCGAAATGAGTTCACGCTGGACCTGCACGGCATGCATGTGGAGGAGGCTCTGGAGGTGAGCAGGGGCATTCGAGATGGGTTGTGTGGCAGGTTTCGTTGCAAGTGGTAGCCTTGCTCAAATGTCCAACCCATGCGCCATCGGCTGTAGGTGCTCAAGCGACACCTGCACACATTCTCCAAGCTGGTCAGTGCCTCAGGATGCAGGGGAGGATGGCTGTGTATTGTCATGTAATGTTATGCTCGGGAATGAAAGCCCGTTGCTCAGACTCGCGCTTAGTCTTCTCAGCAAGCGACCACCCTCCTCCATTGTCAGGGCCACCCAGGAGGTGTATTCCTGAAGATCATCACGGGAAAAGGCAAGCACTCGACCAATCAAGCTCCGAAGCTCCTCCCTGCCGTGACCCGATACCTGGCGGCTGCAGGTTATGAGTCAGAGGGGGAGTGGGGGAATGAAGGTGTCATGTATACACTGATAGAATAGCAGGACTGTTTGCACAGCAAATGCTACCAGTAACACCCATGTTCTTGCAGCATAGGCCGCAGCATGAGGCTGTTTACAAACTGTCAAAAAATTCACTTGCCCAGTTATACACACCTTCCAGCCAGCCTCTCGGAAATATGTACTCCTATGTACTGCACTCTATGCTCTTTGTAAGCTCACTAGGATACTCTCACTAAAGCCATCCGCATTGAGAAAGATAGAGATCCATTACATGTGGCATTGCCTTCCCTGCGTTGACCTAGCCATCGGCGGCCGGATGCGGACATGGCGAGGAAGGCCAAGAGTCACGAGCGCCAGCTTCAGGGAGATCGAGCAGGCGAGTGGAGGCACGTCGTCACATCAAGCTGACGGACCCGATATTGCACATCATTATACACCAAATCCAAGCGTCTGATGGTCTCAGCCAAAGCCATGCAGTGTGACATGGTCATCATCGGGGGTGGCATCTGCGGGCTGCTGGCTGCTCGACAGTGCCGCGACATGGGTCTGTCCTATACACTGATCGAGCGAGAGAAGCGGTTGGGAGGCAACTGGCACACCAAGGCGAACGATCACTCCTTCCTGCAGGTGCAGTGTGTTTGTCTGCAGTTGCTTCACTTGATGTCGTCGGGACAGCGACTGTGATCAATCTGCTCCGCCACCAAGGCTGCGTTACCAGCATGACTCAGCAGATCTTCTCTCAATGCCCAGGCATACGAGCCCATGTACCGATGGGACCCCAAATACAAAGTACATCCTTCCATCTTTGGCAAGGCCCCCGCATCCAAGGCATGCTTGGGACTGAAGTTGAACTTGTCAGGGTTGACCGCAGAGACTTGAGTCTGGTCACTGAGCCTACTGACTGACTACTTGGCCACACCAGGTGAGAGAGCAACTGGAAGCATTTGCGAGTGACAACGCTGTCACGTCCAACTCCCTCCTGTCTACGGAGGCCGTGGATGTAACCCAAATGGCAGCAGACAGGTGTGGAGTGGGCTAACTTCTTGGAAGGGGAAGCATGTCATGCGGTGCATACTTGCGTCTGCCCTGCAGCAGGTAATACATGGACCAACTCATTCCTGGGTCACAGGTTCCTCGTCAACTGCAAGAGCCTGGTCACAGGCGAGGAGTCTGTCATGGAAACGGCCTTCCTGTGTGTCACATGCGGCATCTTGGGGGACCAGGTAGGATGCTTGCAAGGGAAACTGGTGCAGAAATACCACCTCTGTCCCATCACAGAGTCTTGACGCACCGATATTCCCAGAAGGTACCCTCCGCTTTGTCCTCGTCATGCAGTGGACAGCAGAGGAGCGAGGAGTGGAGGTGGGCCAGGGCTACAGGGGCAAACTGACCCAGGCAGGGCGCCATCTCGGGATGGATTCACTGGCTGGCACGGTCGACTTGGCAGGGAAGGTGAGTCGCAGGTGCAGCTGCAGAATGCCCGTACAGTTCATGTGAGGTCATACCAGTCCTGGCTCTGGAGTTTGTTTGGCTTGATCACTCGCAAAATTCTCCCTCCCCACTGGTCTCCATGCTGCAGAGGGTCGTGGTGATGGGCTCTGGGTCATTCGCCATAGAGGCGGCTGAAGCGGCTGCTCGGCAGAACGCACAGCACATCACCATCGTCTCGAGACCTCGATACCGGTGAGGGTTGGAGACGAGATGATCCAGCCCATGGCAGGCTGTGGAGGCTCCAGATGGTGTTGGCTTTCCATCCAGCATGCATACTGCCTTCTCAGCCCTGAAGGTGCCCAGCCTCACCCTGCCTGCTGCCTCAACCCCATTCCCGTCGCAAAGATGGGTGCTGCCGTTCTCCAGGCAGTTTATACTGGCAGCAGTTGCATTCGCCCCCCTGGTGCCCTGGAGGTTGAAGATGAGAGCCGTGGAGGTGAATGTCTCGTCTGCTGTGGGAGCTGTGGCTTGGTGCCAGCGAACTGTAGACGCTGCACTTGGCTAGATCCGGGCCACTGCAGTGGGCCAACCAGGTCTACTCCCAGCCTGAGAAGATGCCCCCCCCCCAGTATCCTGATTGCAGTGGTACCTCCGCAAGTTCTTTTATGGCCCCTGCGGCATCGACCACTGGCTGCCCAGGGGAGCACCGGCCGACATGGACTACTCAGGTACAGAAAGAGTGTTTGATATGGTCTGCTCAATCCTTGTTCTGGAATTAATGCCTGGTGCTGAGTGCCTGTGCCCATGTCCATCGATGTGGTGCCAAAACTCATGTGAGTCAGGCTGCACATCCCGATTCACGTGTTGCCACTGCTTGAGACCCAACTACCCTCATGACAGGCCAATCCAATGATGGGTACTTCAGGCTGACCCACGAAGGACGCCTCACCTGCATTGTGGACCGAGTTGTGAAACTGGATGCAGAGGGAGCAAGTAAGTAGGGTGGAGGTCAAGAGAACAGGGGAACCAAGACTGTCCAAAGAGAATATCGTGGTGTACTAGTTCAGAAACTGAGCAACCTGACCCCTGCCTGCTGTCATGGGCCTCACGTCAGGGTTGGCCTCCAGGAAAATCCTGCCCTGCGACCTATTCGTCGTGGCTGCTGGGTGCAAGTACAACCTGCAGCCCCCTTTCCTTGCGAGCCTGGGTCTTGGTGAGTGGCTGGGTCTGCAGATATTGGTGGCCTGGTCGAGAGTAGCCCCTGTTCCAACCAGGGCATGGCTGGCTATTTGGATTATTTTGTAGGATATCAAGTGACATCCTCTGGGGGCACCCGGCCACCTCTTCATGCCTCGCCCTGTGCATTGTAAATGGAGCCTCGGGGGGGACGACTTTCATCCCAGCTTCGCACACCCCATGCCAGGATTCCATGACCTGCACAGCTATGCTTTCCTGGGCAGAAACCCGCGGATTGGCACCGCCTCCGACTTCGTCTTTGCCTTTGTGCCAGCGGGACCACTTAAGCAGCTGGAGATGTTCTTCCACTCCGTGCAGTGCTGCAGGGCCGGCAAGGAAGCTGTGAGGGGGACGGGAAGGCAGCTCTCATGTGCTGGGAGGGGCACGTCCTTGGCGTGCATTGTCAGGCCCATCCCTCACCAGGATGATCGCCCTGGAGCATGGAGAGACATGCCACCAAAGCAACCAAGAAAAAATACTCCACACTGATGCCAACACGTCTCCTGCCAAGCGCCAATGCAGGAGGTGGCTCGGGCACTCGAGCCCACAGCTCTCCCACACCACACGGAGGGACCCATGAAGGGAGGCAGGATGGCTGGCTCATACACCTGGTTCCAGACGCGCTCCCCCTGGTCGCCACTCAATCTACCAATCGAGGTGGGCATGGGCTTCCTTTCCATTCTACTGTGAAGGATTTTAGGCGGCTGGCCGATGTATGGGCAATGGGTGCAGGACTCGGCAAGCATGCTCTATCCTGTGAAACATACTGCGTTTGATGTGCAAACGTCTATAGCTCCACATGCCTCTGTTGCTCGTGTCAGGAGCGATCTCGCATCTACTTGAAGACGATGTCAGTTGGGAAATCAGCTATACAGCGGCTGGGCCTCCGGGTGCAGGTAAAGCTTGACGTGCATGCACATCCGCATTGCATGTTGTGCAGTATACTTGCATGTTCATGTCCATGTCCCGATGACACAGCCACACAGCCTGCCATGGATCCCTCGTGCATGGGGACTGCAGCTGGTAGCTGCCATGCTCGGAATCTGGATCCTCTCATCCCTGCTGGCTGTGGTCGAGATTTTCAAGTTCCCTGTCTACGGGAAAGGCGTGCCGGATCACCATGTCCATTGACATGCCTGAGTGATATGTTGTGTATGGGAGCGACGTAGTTGTTTTTGTTCTAGGTACATCCGTACTGTTTGGGTGTCGAAGCTGTTCCGAAACCATTAGAAGATCTGCGGGAACCCGAGATGGCGTCCATTTAGTCATGTTGCACACCTCGACGATGCGCAGCATACCCTTGTAATCGCTTTAAATCCTAACAAATGTCGACAAATACCCAGACCCCGGTGCCGGGGGGCCGCGATCCTCACAGGGACAGGAGCCCGGAGGCACTACCATCAAGCGGCAAGCCCCCCGTTTTCGAGAAGGAGGCGCCCCGAACGCCTCACGTAACTGTTGAGCGGGACAAGAAGTATGTGCCACTGGGATGGACGAAGCTGACGTCCTCCTTGGATGACGAATACGATCCCATTGGGGTGAGCTCCAGTGTCGGAGTTCATGCACATCGGGGCGCATACCGACATGGGAGACAGCACGGCTCACGGCTGGATGATGTCGTGTACTCCCTCTTCTTCATAGAATGCCTCCTCCCATCCCCCACACCCTCGCAGGCACAGGGGAGTTTGCCAACCAGTCGGGCACCGACGCCAGCACACTCCATGGATGGCGACCTCTTGGAGTTCCCGATGTGTTGACTGCTCTCCTGTATTCGCCGCCACACCCCGCACCCAAGCAATTTCTCATACATCATAACTTGTCCGGCTAAATTTTTTCGTGCTGTGACCGCCAGAAGGCCTTGTGGCCCACCAGACATGTGCCATCCCTGTCCCATCGAGAGTGTCCTGCCACCCCGCACCGCCCCTCCGCATTCAGCACCCCAACCTGTTTTCCAGTGGCGCCAGATCATTTCTCCCCCATTTGCGGTCCTGCTGTGAGGAGCGGAATACACAGATGGAATGATACAAGAAATTGCCAAGCAAGCGTGGCAAGGGGTAGGAGGAGAGTCTGCCTAGAGTTGGCGCACAGGGGTCGGCCCCGCCCCCTGCAGGGCAAAGCGTGGCGCCGTCCAGCGCTTCGTTCGGTACAAGCATCCGCCCCCAAATGCAGCAACCCCGCGCGATCATCTCATTCGCTGGCCTTGCCGGCCCGGGATGCCCTCAGCCTCGCCAGGGCCGCTGCCCCGCTCCCCTTGGGCTTGGGGCGATGGTAGGTCCCCGCCCACGCCCCGCCCGTGCTGCTGTAGTAGTCCATGGGGTAGGGCGCGGCGCCTCCCTCCCCATCGCCGTCGCCCTCCCACCAGCCGGGCACCTCGCCCAGCGCCACAAAGGCCTCGTAGGGGTTGAGCGTGGGCTGGGCAAAGCCCTCGCCCCAGTCGATGCTCAGGCGGGGGCAGGCCACCTGGACCCAAGTGTCCACGCCTGGGGACAGAGCCGCCAGCTTGGCAGGGGACACCTCGGACAGGAGCACCACGATGTACTGCTTGCCCGCGGCCCTGACCAGGCGCTGCAGGCTGGCCAGTAGGGCAGGGTTGCCCTGTGCACGTGTGGATGTGGGTGGGGGAGGAGGAGGGTTGAGGGGTCGGGCATGCCGCCGGCAGGGGAAGAGGTTTACGGGCTGGTGCCAGCCCGGGCACGGCCCAAGGCGCAGCAGCCTGCCTGTCGCTCAGTGGCAAGGCCCAATGCGGCGCTGGTACATCTTCTTGTTGTTCTAAACTCTGCACCCTAGCCACACCTCAACCCTACGATTCTTTACGCAGTCAAAGTGCGCATCCCCCCCAAGCGGAGACACAGGTAACCAGGGAGGACAACACCACCCACCTGCCGCCCAAGGGTGCCCAGGACGAGGCCCCAAACCTCGCCGCGCGCACCCTTCCGGATGGCTTCCCGTCGCGCGGCCTGCATGCCCTTGTGGTCGTAGCCCTCCCGCGTGAGGCTGCGGGCATAGGGGTCATAGCGGTAGGCCGGGACGCCCGGGTTGGCGATCATGGCTGCCTCCAGGTGGAACCTGCCGTCCGCGAGGAACACCAGGGCATCCGTCCCAGGAGGAAAGCGCGGTGCGGTGCAGCCCAGCACCTCCCCGGGGGAGAGCGGGGCGGCCTGGGGGATGGCCAGGGAGGGGAAGTCGGTGGAGAGCTCGGCGCGGGCCTGCTGCAAGGACGACGCAAACTGGATGGTCCCCGCCATGATCAGGTTTGTCCCCCGCGAAAAGGTGAGCCTGCGCAGGGGAGGGTGCGTGGAGGAGGGTGGAGGTCAGCACAGCATGGCGCATAGGAGGGTATGAACCTGTGGCGTGCAGCCGCCCCCCTTGGGCCCAGAGTCCGACAGGGTGGTTGAGTCATCGCTCCAGGCCACTCATATCTGACCATTTACCCCAACATCTCTCCCTCCTCTTCACTTCTTCCCACCGCCAGACCACACCTGACGCTGTCCACAAGGTGTTGAAGGTCCATCTGGATATCCACAAAGACATACATGCAGGGGATGGAGGTGATGTCTACCGGCACCAGACAGCTGTGACCGTAGTGCACCAGGAAGTCAGCCCCTGAATTGATCCATGGGTGAGGGATAGGTTGCGGCGATGGGTGGGCAAGGGTAGGGGCCTCGAGCAAGGATAACAACAGGGTACCCCCATCCCAGGAGCAACGCATGCCCTCCTTGAGCTTGGTATCTGAATTATCAGGACTAGAAGCGTCTGCGCCTGCCACTCTATTTCCCTCCGGTGCGGAGCATGGAGCCACGCCTACCGAGCGCGACGGCTGAGTAGTCATCCACGCAACAGGCTCCAAAGGTCACGTCACCCATGACGTAGGCCCTGGCCACGCCGGCGTGGGCCTGCAGGATGTCGGCAATCACGCAGGCGTACATGAGGAGGCCCTCCGGGAATTGGAGTGCCACGGTACGGGCCCCGGCGCGGCGCAGCCGCCACACCGTCTTGTGGATCTCGAAATTGTAGTTGGCCGGGAGCAGTGCTATGGCTTCCCTCAGCCCAGGGTCTTGCATGATGTCATCTGGGATCTGCGGGAGTGCCAGGAGAGGAGCAGCACTGCTCAGGCGAGGGGCCCTGCTGGGTGGTGCCCTGGCATCCAGCGCCGGCATACACAGCCAGCAGGCAGGGACGAATATACCTCGCATGCCTAACGGCCACACACCTGGTGCCCTATCACGCGTCTCGCCATTCGTGGGACAGGCACAGGCGTCAGGACGGTCGTGCTGGGCACTGCCTGCCCGTCCTCTACCTGGCCAGAAAATCTGGCAGGCTCCGGCACGCCTGGCTCGTCAGTCATGACGGCACCTAGGTTTGGAGAACAGCCACGTTTGGATAAGGATCGGATCGAGTGGTGTATAATAAAGGGGCTGCCGAGTGTCTTGTGGGAAGTACACTTGGTCAAGCCCGGGAGAGTGGTCGACGTCACAACCGGACCACGCTACGGCAAGCAAGGCCTGTGATGTATGTGAAAGGCAAGCTGCATGCATGCGTTGAGCAATGGTCGGATTGATATTATATGCCAACTCATGCACGGTGTTGAGTGTTGCACTGCACCGAGTCGATCCCAGACAAGTGCCTCCCCTTCGGGCTGAGGGCGCGCTATCGAAAAAGTGCCAGCAGGTCGCCGAATATAGACCTTCATGGCTTGCTCATAGGGTTGGGTGCGACGCGAGTCCTGGCGATGATCCCTCATAGACAACCACTTACGTATCTCAATATCATGTGCACGACAATGCAAATCCAATCAGACCTCTGACCGAAGAGGGTCCAGGGATGCGGCCGGGGCGTACTCCTGGACTTTGTCAGGGATCGACGCACGGCGCCTTGACGCCACAACGCTGCTCAACTTTGAGATTCGATAATCTTGAATGGAGGGGGGCGCTTCAGACGACTCTCTTGGCCTCACAGGCTCCCCCAGGACGGCGCCTGGCCCTCCTTCCCACCAGGTCTGATACCGGCTGCTCTGCCGGGGAGAGGTGCCTGCGAAGCCCCTTCGCCCTGCCCGCGCACAATGACCGCCCCGGACAAAGAAGGAGTGTGATCATGGGGGCAGGCGGCCCCAAAGGCAAGGGTATTGGCAGCAAACTCGCAAACAAGTCCACAGGGCGTAAGGTGCGCATTGAGCTGGGCTGCCGTTGGGGTGGAGTGGTGGCTGACTGGAACCCTGTGCACCCCGGCGCGCCGCCGTCTTGCCAGCTGTGAGAACTCTCCGCCGGCCCCACGGCTCGGCGCAAAGGCACCAAGCGCACCCAGCTCAGACGCCACCTCGCTCGCTCCAGATCGACACCCCCGGCGCCTTCCTCCTGGCCTTTGTCGGGATCGGGTACATGGCCCTGATCGTCATCCTGCCCTTTGCCAATGTCTTTGTGCAAGCCTTCAGCAAGGGTATCGGCCCCTTCCTGGCCGTCCTGGCGGAGCCAGAGTTCCGGCAGGCGGTGAAGATGACCCTGCTGCTCAGTGCCGTCGCGGTCCCCATCAACACCGTGTTTGGCGTGCTGGCGGCGCTCTTCCTGTCCCGCAACCGGTTCAGGGGCAAGGAGCTCCTCATCTCCTTCATGGACCTGCCCTTTGCCATCTCGCCCGTGGTCACGGGCATGATGTTTGTGCTGCTGTACGGCCGCTCTGGACTCTTTGCACCCCTCATCTCTAGGTTCGGGTTCAACATCGTCTTTGCCTTCCCAGGTATGGAGGGACCCGGGAGTGAGGGTGGCATGGAGACCAGAGTTGATGAGATGGCGGTGCGGGAGTGTTCAATGGTCATTCTCTATGACCAAGGCATGTGGCAGTGCAAGTAGCCTTCATCTGGTCAACATCTTACTTGGCTCCTCACACCAGCCTGCCTCCTATGCATAGATGCCGGTCAAACACCCCGACCTACCCCATCCCTCTCCCCCCTTGCCTTGCAGGAATGGCTTTGGCCACGATGTTTGTGACCATGCCGTTTGTGGTCCGTGAGCTGATGCCGGTGCTGGAGGAAATGGACATCCAGGAGGAGGAGGCTGCCACCTCCCTCGGTGAGTTGTTCCGGGGGGGCCTGGAGGGAAGGTGTACAGCTGACTGCTGTTTTTGTGTAGATGAGCACAGTCATAATGCTGCCAGGGGTTGCAGGTTTGGTCTGGCAGACTATGCTTGCGCATGCATATCCCTGCTGCTCAGACATGAAGGTCCCTGTTTAATCCCAGGCGCATCTGGGTGGCAGACATTCTGGAAGGTCACGCTGCCCAATATTCGATGGGGTCTGCTGTATGGCATCATCCTGACCAACGCTGTGAGTGATGGGAGTAGGTAAAACGCTGCCGCAACGCCCACTGTCCCATTGCGGATTGGTGGAAAGCATGCTATTCACCTGCAAGGCACCCATCCACCCTCCCTCTCCTTCCTCAGCGCGCCATGGGCGAGTTTGGGGCGGTCAGCGTCATCTCTGGCAACATCATCGGCCAGACCCAGACCCTGACCCTCTTTGTGGAGTCTTCTTACAAGGAGTACAACTCGGGTGAGTTGATTGGCGGGAGTGCACCAAAGTGAGGTTGTCAGGGTCGCCCATTTCCTGGCCCTGCAAATCGCGAGGTCCAGAGGGGGCTCATTGCCAACAAGATCTTATGTGAACCAGGAGTAGGAGGATGTATGCAGGGTGAGTGCCAAACACCTCTTGGTCACATAACAGAAGCCTCCAACCCCACGACTGTTTTTCGCAGAGGCTGCATTTGCAGCTGCCGTCCTGCTGTCCATCCTGGCCGTGGTCACGCTCTTCCTGAAGGACAGACTCGAGCGCGCGGCTGCCAAGGAGAAGAATGAAGGGAAGTGAGCGCTTCCTTCACCGCTCGAGCTCTTGCCATGCATGCTCGTGCATGACCAGTGAGCTTTGACTTGCACCATGTTGCCAGGAATAATAAGCTCGGTCCTTGAGCTACAAATCGGCTTGTGACGTACTGCCACCTCCGGATCGCGCCCTACACAGAACCTGCGGCCATGGTGAAGGGCGCTGAATCCTTTGCGCACAAGGAACTGACGTGTCATCGTCATCAGGGACGACCCTAGTGCGCCCACCATCCTGGAAAAGCCTTGGACATCGGCCACATCCCAGTATCTAGCACGCCCAGGTTTTCATCGCCGGAGGGCGACCAGTGTAGGAGCCTAGGTCGAGGGTCTTCCCCTCCTGACGGGCGAAGCTCGGTTAGCTCGCCAAGATGCGGGCGGCACATCGATGCCCGAGCACAAGCTCACCGATGGCGTTGCAAGGTTTCGCCTCATGGACTAGACACGTCGAATTCAGCAGCTCGGGTCTCCGCACCCTTCCTCGGAGGCTGCCGGCTTTCGGAGCCCCTCGCCACCACGGTGAGTGGGAAGCACACAGCGCTGGAAGCCTGGCGTCTCCCTTTGCACAGTGGCTGGGGTTCGACAAGTGGCCCTCCTCCTCACCTCCAAAGCAGGGAAGTGGCAGCTGAACGCCCAGGGCAGGCATCCAGGACGCAGCGAGCCCCAGGTTCCCACGGCGGCAGCCGAGCAGCAGTCGACCCCATCCAACCAGATCCTGCTGGATCTCCGAGAGCGGCGGGCCAGGAGGCGGCAGGTAGGTGGTCGAGCAGGGGCTTGATGCTCGCCGGGGCATGAGTGTCGCTGGCATGCTGCAACCCCGAGGCACAGCCCAGAGCAAACAATGCCTCCACTGAATCCTGCACAGAGATTCCAGGAGCAGCAGCAAAAGCTGCAACTCAAGGAGGGTGACGACCTTGAGGAGCCACAGGAAGGGAGTGCAAGTGCTGCCCCCGAGTCTGCTCCACCCCCGTCCTCGCTTGCCATGGTCGTGCCTCCCTCGGGCATGGAGGGCGTGGTCCTGCAGCCGCGCGCACCCTCGCAGGGTGTGGGGGGCACCGCTCGCGTTCATTTCACCCTCTGCTTTCGCACAGACTGGGGCCAGCGCCTCCGCATCGTGGGCAGTCAGGAGGGGCTGGGTGAGTCCCTGTCTGTGTTGGGAGGCGGGTGGGTGGGATGCTTGCGATGTTGAGAGAGTTTGTTGGGTGCCGGGGCATCATTGTGGGTGGGGAAGGCACGGTTCCATCGTGGCACAGCATGACTGTATGAAACCTGCGGCGCCCACCACTCTCGCAGGCAACTGGCGGCTGGCAGATGGGCACAACATGAAGTGGACGACGGGTGACAACTGGGTGGCTGAGGTGGATCTCCCCACCGGCACAGTCTACGAGTACAAGTTTGTGGTGGTGGACCACGCCAGTGGCCATGCCCTGGCCTGGCAATCCGGGAACAACTCGGTGCTGGCACTTCGCCCCGAGGACCGATCTGTAGACGTGTTTGACAACTGGTGAGGGGTCATGGGGGTGGAACGTCGGGTGGGATCCCTGCTCCTCAGGCAGTACTGCGTGGGAAGTGGAGGCGGGGTGCTGCTGTTCGTGTAAGGACGTGGAGCGGCGGCCTGCCCTACTCCTGTGCTGCTGCCTCGCTTCATACCCAGCCTCAGGCCGCAAGGCTGGGTCAAATTTGCCACCCTGGAATGTCCTTGAATCCCCTGTCCCTCCTGCCACCATCCCCCTCCTAGGGGAGGGGAGCCGGGCGCGCAGCTGGTGGCCGATGGTGCCAAGCCGCTTACCAGGGAGCAGCGGCTGCTGAGCTGGGCAACCGAGATGGAGGCCTCCATGGTGGGGCAGCGGCAGGAGCTGCGCCGCGCGCGCATGGAACTCGTTGCCGCCCAGGAGGTGGGAGTGCTTGTTCGGGCCTGCTGGGATGATGCTGGGTTATCGGCTGCCAGGGGGGCTGCAGCCCCGACGTGGCGGTCCTCAGCAGGTCCTCAGTGTCCTCTTCTTGCGTGTGCAGGATGCACGCAAGGCACGGGAAGAAAGCAAGCGCATGTACGCCCGCCTGGCGGAGAGCGAGGCGGCGCGCATCGCGGCGGCGACCGACCTGCGGGCCGCCGAGACCACCAACAAGGTGCGCTGGGATAGGGCAAGGGGAGGGAGTCCGTTCAGCGTATGGGCTACTTCTCAATCGTGTGTGCTGCAGGGATGCACAGGGCGTGTGCTCAGAGGCCCACTCTCGGGCAGCACCACAGTGCCTCTTCTCAAACGGTCGCCTGTGCGTTCCTGGTGCCAGGTGCTGACGGCGCAGCTGAACGAGGTCAACACCTCGTTCAAGTCTGCCCTGGAGACCGCGGCGGATCTGCTGCAGGCCATCTCCACGCGGCCCAGGCCGCGGCGAGCCTCTGCAAAGGCTGGCACAGCCGTGGATGCTGACAAGGCAGCAGCCGCGGCAGTGAGCGGGGGAGCGGGCACACCGTTTGGGTCGGCGGCGGGCGTGGCAGGCGGGCAAGTGTCTGAGCCGACAGCCGAGCCGGCGGCTGAGCCCGCAGCGGGTGCAGCGTCAGGACCGGCGACGAGCACCGCGTCAAAGCGGAGAGCCCCGGTCGTCACTACTACGACCCCGGTACCCAGCCCGCCGAATCTCAGTCCAGCCGTCCCGGCACCCAAACCCTGGGGCAAGGGCTCAGCCAAGGCATGAGGAGGTTGCTGCAAGGGCCCCGGCCCCAGGCCCCGCACGCTCTCATGAGAACGCTGGCTCGCTACACATTGCGCCACACCCCTTCCTCATGCTGCTTGAACCGCTCGCTCCCAACACTCGTACTGCCCGACTTGGCTGTCGCCATGCTTTCGATTTCGACATGCAAGCAAGCAAGCCGGGGCCCGGGTCGTGGCGGCGGGACCTCAAAGAGCAGCCCGGGATGCAGGGGTTTGAGATCATCTGAGGGGTCCAAAGCCAGTCCCGGGTACCTGTTTCCTTGAGCCTGGCGCGTCGGGGCCAAAGGGACCCTGGCCAGCAGGCTCCCCTGCCAGACACAGAGCAAAGGAGTGCACGTCGATGCATGCTCCCCTGCTCCATCCCCCCCCACCGCCGCATCAAAGGACCCGCCCCGTCTCATTGTCGATGGTGGCCTCGTGTGCGTCGGCAGACACGCCCGGCGGCAGGTACCGGAAGTCATCCGCCGAGGAGATCTGGGTGTAGTCCAGCAAGTCGGCGGGGGTGGAGCCCGGCATCGAATCCTTGGTGGTCCCTCGCCGTGCACGCAGCAGATCCTTGGACTCCTTGATCAGCAGCTTCATCAGCAGGAGACCTGTGTGTGTGTTTGTGTGTGTGTGTGTGGGGGGGGGGGGGGTTGGGAGAAGGGGGCCAA